AAAAAAAAAGTATCAGTATACCCAACAAAAGAAATTCGAAATAAATCCTCGTTTATCTCACATTAATTGTATTCCAAATTGAAAAATAAATAATGATTACCGAAAAATGTCGAGGGAAAAGGAAATTTAAAAAAATAAAATCCTGGTTTAACCCAAAAGTTATCTTCTTGAGTGTCTTCAATGCCGTAGGCGTAATTTATGACTCAGAGGATAAAAAAAAAAGCTTTTTGTCTCGCCATTTAAAACATGACTTCAGTCCTTCGTTCATATGCTGTATTATTCCCTTCCTTGTTTGAACTCAACTATTTCAAATTAAAGGGGGTCACTCTTCAGTGCAGGGGCATGGATTACAAATCATGTTTAAATCAAAGTAAATGACCAGAAGCAAGAAATCTAATTATTTTTATTCGAACTTTTTTTCCACACTTGAAAAATTTAGCTAAGCAAACAAATTCATGAATACAGTACTGTACACAAAATATTCCGCGAATAAAAGCCAGAAAACGGTTATAAGCACACCAATTTCCTATTCGAATATTCTTTTTTATTTAAATTTTCATCGTGAATCAAAGTTAAAAAAATAAAGATAAACTTGAAAGTTCAAAGTATCCAAAATGTGTTGCAAAATATTGACATCATAAATGGCTTCACTTCCTTTTTGAGCAATTCGCTTACGTCGTAGGGTTGAGATTTTTTAGCCAGATCTGCCGCAATAAAATTAATGATAAATCGAAAATGTTTGGCAAAAGATAATTCGGCAAATAATCGCCATGAACTAGTGATATGACGACGCATTTTCCGTAACACCAAATCTCGTGAAATGAAAAAATAAAACCGGCGAAAAAAAAAACTGAATTCGTGATTAAACTGAACTTGGTCGGGACCCATCAAGACTTTTTCCTATAAAGGACAGCGGAACAATAAAACTGAAACTTATCTTCATCAGCAGAGGGAATCCAATTACCAGTTACTTCCTCTGAGCAACTGCGGAAGTTCTGAGGAAACTTTTGCGAAGCCTGAAGCTACTAATAAAAAAAAATCCTTGTCACTTCGATGTCAAGTGTAGCTTTTCAAGGACGAACAATTTAATGAACACGCGGTAATCACAATTTTTGCGACAATTTCCCAATAACGCGTGTCAAAAAATGAGCAATGCCATTTAATTTAAAAAAAAAACGGGCCCACCAATCGAAAAGTGGAAGTCAGCATGTTCTGTGACATTAATTTTCCATATATGAGTCAGAATCCTTAAAAACCAGAAAAAAAATCCGCAAACATCTTCTTTTTCACTTGGAATCTTCTCTCTTTACGGACGTCAATCAAACATTTAATTCTTCATAAATTTACATTCAAGTGCATCCTGCATCTATGCTAAAAAAAACTGCATTGCGAAGATCAGAAATTTTTTTAAAGAGACACAACTGCCAGATCTTTGATGTTGCCGCTGAAATTTGGAAACAATGAGGCAACTAAAACCGCCAAGTGTGACATTCAAGCCTTATTTTCCTCCAGTGATGAGAATACAGTAAAATTAAAACCATTGTCAATTGCATCCCGGGAGAGAAAAATTACAAGTGAATCGGGAATGATCAAATAATCAAATACAGTATCCATAAAAATTATCTACAAAATCCATCCATAAAACACTAGAGGCTTGAGCTTGAAAAGAAAAAAAATTGCAACAATAATTCGCAGCCATTTTAAAAAGGGCCCCGCATAAAATCCTCCAGCAAATGATTTCAATCAATATTTCGTCTCGCTCGTCAATGACTTTAAAATCCCTCGAAATTTTGTTCAAAAAAAAATTGCAACAATAATTCGCAGCCATTTTAAAAAGGGCCCCGCATAAAATCCTCCAGCAAATGATTTCAATCATTATTCGTCTCGCTCGTCAATGACTTTAAAATCCCTCGAAATTTTGTTCCCTCGATACACCGGCAAGCAAACTCGACGACAACCAGAAATCCAGTTTACGCAACCGACATTCGGATTAAAATCTTCTCCATCTCTGGGGGTAACGAAGCAAACTGAAACTCGAGATTATCTATTCCGAAGTAGACCACAGGGAACTCAATCCGCGCGGAAAAGCAATCAAACAAATCCAGCATCAACAGTCATTACCGAACTGAGGTTAACGAGATTTTTCTCGTCTCGCTACAATAAAAAGGCGGGTTCGTCTCAATTATCTCGGAATTTTTTTTTTCTTCATCAAACCGTGACTTCCAAACAGGCCACTGAGCTGTTCCGAGTCGAACGGATTTACAACGTGGAAATTGGCGCCGTCAAAGGAGAGAATAGAAGAAAACATAGCACTCGAGTTTAATCCGTTTCTTCATCAGATGAATTGAAACTAACCATTAATTATTTCCTTTGATGACTACAACATTTTGCTGTACCCCGTATGAGGAGGCACAAAAATCAAAAGGCAAGAAACTTATTCAAGTAAAAATATATTTAGATTTTCAGTGTCAGTCATGGTCGCCTTTATAAGACTCACAAGCGATCAACGTTTCCTTTACAGGGCTGGCTGATAATTCTGATATCGAGAGCCCAATTATGATTTTTTTCGTACTCGTGGATTTTCCACAAGGCAATTGCGACGAAAATAATGCATTAATTTTGATGCAGACCATTTAATTGTCTGAAAAAAGTGGCTTTAAGAGGACATACAAATAAAAACAGGACTTTACGGTGATGGGTTCAAGTCTGAAACATACTTGTGCGAATAAAGTTCCTTCCTTTTTTTGATGGAGGGACAGATGAATCTCTTTACCCTGACCAGAGTTAAAGTTGAAAATTTTTTTTTTGATTCAATTGTTTGGGGGGAACTGGTTCACATTTTTTTATTTAAAAAAGATAACCGATTAAATATGCTTGTATTGAAGAACATGATAGAACATGTGAACGCCCTGACACAGAGACAATAAAGGTCCAAGCACCAACTACGTCCGCATCTCGGGGCCCCACTTGGTGCTTGGACCTTGTTCCTATGTTTCAATTTTCCCATAGACTTCAATGGGAACTTATTTAATTGGTTCTCCACTTCATCAAAAATCAGGCATAAAATTCTATAAAAAATTGAATAACATTTGCTTCTCAATTTTTAGATGCAGAATATAAATGTGCAGAAGAAAACCACACATGTAGATATAACCTGATCTTCTGGCCTCAAAAAAATTCCCAAAAAGCAAGGAAAAAGTCCAAGCAAGAAAATTTACCTGAAAAAGAATCACAAAATTGACCATTATAAACTTGAGTAAATTTATCATGAAATTCATTTTTAATTTTTGTGAGTACAAATACTGCATTTGTTAAAAAATAAAATTTTCCGTTTTCCTAGAAATGTTGAAGAAGTGCACGTATGTCAATGCATTGTCCAGATGTAGGGGCAGATTTTTTCGAAGTGCAAATTTATAATGAAGGATAATTTCTAATTTTTGTGAATATAAATAGATCGATTTTTTTTTTCAAAAGATATCAAAATTTTGAAGAAAGAGGAAAATTTTCCATTTTTTCTAGATACAGTATGTTGAAAAAGCGCTCATATGTCAAGACATGAATTTTTTCAAAGTTCCAAAAGCGTCCCAGAGTCGAATTGTCCATATATGCCGGGGTCTCACTGCAATTCTCCTCCTCCTCCTCCTCCTCCTCAGGGGGTGGGGGGGTTTTGAAATGATGAAACGTAGCGCGCGCGTGTGTGTGTGTATGTGAGTGTATTCTCACGTTACCTTATCGAAGCCGGCGGCGAGCCCGACCGGGTTCGGGAATTGCTTCCCAAACACCTCGATGGCCATGGACGGCGGGTCGGGCCGCATCTTGGGCCTTGGCAAGAGGCCAAAAGCCGCGCATCTGACGGCAAACCGATGCGCCTGCTCCGCATCAATCATCCGCATTGCCGGCGTCACGAACTGCTTGTAGAACTTCTCGTCCCCGCGGTACAGGCAGATGCCGGCGAACGTCAACGTGCCGCCCACTATCACTTGGATGGCGTGCTTCCTCCGCTCCTATATACACATGATAATCATCCCATTAGGTGTGCGTGTGTGTGCGTGCTTCTTACTGGGTTGATTTGTTCCACTCCGTCCCAATGTTGGGGACAGGATGAAAAAAATAAACAAATAAATACGGAACAGGATAAATTCGCATTGAAAGAAATTGATTACGATTTGTTCATCACAATATCAGACATCACGGAAAAAGTCTACACTCAAGAATTTGATTTCGAGCTGCTCGTCACAATATCAAACATCAAGATGAACAAGCTGAATACTTCTGAACTCGAAATTTGATTTCGAGTCTTGAATCACACGGAAAAAACAGGAGACATTCGCATTCAAATAAATTGATTTCAAGTTGTTCGTCACAATATCAGACATTAGGAAAAAAAATCTACACTAACGAATTTGATTTCGAGCTGCTCGTCACAATGTCGGAAATGAAGAAAAAAATGGAATATTACCGCACTCAAAATTTGATTTCGAATCTAAAAAAAATATATGGAAAACAGGAGACATTCGCATTCACATAAATTTATTTTAAGCTGTTCATCACAATAATGTCGGACATGAAGGGAAATCTGGAATATTTCAGCACTCATAATTTGATTTCGAATCTTGACAATACAGGAAAAACAGGAGACGTTCGCATTCAAAGATTTTTTAAAAGCTGTTCATCAAAATAATGATGGACATAAAAACTGGAATATTTTTGCACTCAAAACTTTTTTTTCGAGTCTTGAATCTCACAGAAAAAACAGGAGATATTCGCATTCAAAGAAATTGATTTCGAGTTGTTCGTCACAATATCAGGCATTAAGGAAAAACTCTACACTCACAAATTTGATTTCGAGCTGCTCGTCACAATGTCGGACATGAAGGAAAAATGGAATATTTCTGCACTAAAAATTTGATTTAGAATCTAGAATTATATAGGAAAAACAGGAGACATTCGCATTCAAATCAATTGATTTTCAGCAGTTCATGAAAATGTCGAATATAAAGGGGAAAGTGGAAAATTGTTGCACCAATTTGATTAAGTCGTTCATCACAATGTTGGAAACGAAACAAAAACAGGACACAGTCACTGAAAAAATTGATTTTTAGCAATAAAAAAAAGTGAAGTCTGAAATGCATACCCTTTTTTTCAAGTCTGACCGGAATGTATATATTCTTTCAACATATTCATCTAAAAACAAGACTCGTCGGATTAACTCGAATTTTCTCCGCTCTTAATCCACTTTCATTTGTGAGCATTTGTTCGTCCCATTGTTTGGCATGAAGGAAAACAGGAAACATAGGCATTCAAAGAAATGTATTTCGAGCTATGAAGGTCGTCGTTCAAGATTGGCGACGATCTTTTCGATCGTTTTTCCAATAATGATTAAAATCAGTTCGCAAAATTTTTCCATTTTCTCAGAATTTTTTTTCCGCAAGAGTTCACACATACACAGAGAGGGTGAGCGAATCAATCAAGAGAAAATCCCACGTGCATCTTATTTTGGCACTTCACAAGTTTATGGTATTCCTTCGGTGGCTGGAATAACGTCGTCAGGCCCAACCTCGTCATACTATGGAATAATCTCGTCGCGGAATATCGTCATCAGGAATAACCTCGCCTTCATGTATTACCCAAGATGTCCAGACTTTCGGGATTTTTCGGCAGTAACACGTTGGTCCAGTTGTGAAGTGCGGGAATATTTTTTTAAACGAGTTTGTTGCAGGAGAGACTCGACAACAATAATCGAATGACGACGTTATTCCACCATCCCTATTCCTTAGTACAGTACAGTAATAATACAGCATCCCGTTCAGCCATCAGCTAAATTTTTCGCATAAAAAAAATTGTTCCGTAGAATGTTGAAATGGAGGAGCAAATAGGGTCAGTGACCTCACTTGAACACGCGCGCCGTTACGTCCTTTTCTTTAGACTTTTCTTGCCGTTGGCAGCATATAGTACAGGAAGTATGGTACTGCCACGGAGAGTACCATGGGCATTCCGAAGAAATCGGCCCTCGTATGGAGGGTTTATCCATGTCTGCAAAAGTACCTCACTTTTTCATTTCCCTAAAAATGCTGCCTTCACAGCCGCCTGGATTCCATCCTCTGTCGCCGTTTCCGGCCGCCCCTCGGACGCAGAATCAATGCGAACATATTCGATTCACAATAATTCGAGAAAAGTAATCCCCAAGTCGATGACTCTCTCAATTCAAGGAGTCTTTGAACCGAAATTTGTCCGTCATACGAAGCAATAATCGAATGCGAATTTTCCTGCGGTTTTTGACTGAGTGAGAACAATTTGCAATTTCTCTCTTTGAATCATGCTTCTCCGAAAATGTGACCTCGAGCGTACAGTATTACGGATTATCACATATTTTTCTGTCAATAGACAAGGTCATTCTGGGGGTCGATTTTTTTTTGTATTTATACAGTCAAATCCCCTTTAAGCCCCCACCATCGGCAACCGCTAATTTATTTTGAAAAAAAAAAATCTTCCTCGATGATAACAGCATTGGAAACCCCATTAAAACGTCATCTCCAAAATTATTGACGACTCAAATATGCTCCAGCCAACTAATTTTGTCTTCCACAGCCTGCCAATAAGATTCAAGTTTCTGTAAAAACGTCTTCAATAAAAAAAGGACAAAGATGACATAATTTACTTTTTGGGAACATCAGTTGGATATAATTTATGCATCCCAGGGTTATTTTGATTGTTTTCTAGAATAATACGAATTTGATTCCCTTTTACACTTGATTTTCATATTATTTTAGCTTTTTCGATAAACCACCAAACCCCTTTTTAAATCGCCATTCCCGTTAGACCACCACAAACCCAATAAACACGGCTGCTTACAAGGGGCTTAAGTGTACAATTGTTGACAATTTAGCAGTGAAATGAGTGCTGAATATTTCGGAGTCGGAAATAATTCGATCGTGGAATATCAAAGGTTTCAGCTCATAGTTGTCCATACCGAATTCCTCTTAATCAAGCTTCACAAATACAGTACTGTACTGTATACAGTACTATAATACACTACAGTATACAGTACAATATTATACAGTACAGTACTATAAAATAAATAAATAGAATAACTCACCGGCTCTTTATAAGGATTCTGTACAGGTCTGCATGCTTTAACGGGCGGAACTTTAATCGGCTCCACCATCTTCACCTTGGAAAACACCTTGCTGACTGTCGCCATCTCGTCAGAAGTCTACAAGAAAGTTCTGCGGACAACGAAATAAAACTTGAACAGCTATAGAGAAAAAAGTCCACAATTTATTAAGCTTAATGGTTCTTTTGATCAGAGTTCCTCAACCCGTGGTCCGCGGACCGGTGCCAGTCCGCAGAAGTTTTCTACCGGTCCGCGAGAAATCTTTAGCATACTGTAATAAATTTATCAAAAGTATTCCGTTCTCTTTACCTAAAATTTCGGAAGGACAATGACACTGGAAATTTTCACGATGAAAATTAATGCTGGCTTTTCTCCTAATCACACTTCAGACAAATTTTCACCGGCTGAAATCAATTATTTTAATTTTCCATTCTGAGAATCCTTTCAAGTCCACCTTTTTAATTTTTTCATGACATTCAGCTATAGCTGCTTCATCGGTGCTTAACTGAATCTCTGAGAGAGAAAAAAAAAACAGAAATTTGTAAATACCTGTCATGAAGCCTTTCAAGCAAAACTTTAGGAAGTCTGCAAAAATTTTATGAAACTTTGCCACTTTACGGATTATTATTTTGTTTTTGTTTTTTGGAATTTGCCAGTCCGCGAGAAATTTCACGGAAATTTGCCAGTCCGCGGTCCAAAAAGGTTGGGGAACACTGCTCTAAACCCTAGGGATTCAACATTCTTTCAGAGAAAGCTATGAAGAAATATTTAGGTCGCAACACTGCCTGCTTCGTCTCGCTACTCGAACCAAATGGCAACTCACAACAGCAACGAGATGAGATTGCGAGACCCAGAAATAAGGAAACAAGACAAGCAATGACACCACATTTTCTCGTCCCGAACAAAAGAAAAGCTGCGTGTTTACATCAGACACCTGATTTTTTCTTTCTTCGTACGGTACCCGAACTTCCGGATTTCGTAGGAAAACTTTACGAATCAGTCGCGAAGATTAACACACCCTGAGGGTATATAAACCTTTTCCGATTTGCAGAAGGAAGCAAGAAGTAAACCGAACACAATTGAACTCTGAACCATGTTCAACTTCAGGCTCACACTTGCGGTGAGAAAATATTTTTTTCTTCTCGAGTCAGAGACAAGATAAGATAGTGAAAAGAAGCAATTGTGATCTCAGTATCAGAATATAAACAGAACAGGTTTTATATTCTTTTTAGTAAATCTTCGAGGAAATTCTAAAGCTTTTCACAGGATAGCCCTTCAACAAATTTCCTTCCCCGACATCGTGACCTAATTACACAGTACGCAATGCAATATAGCGTAATTTTCAAAAATGATTGAATATACAGTATTAGCATCTTTTTTAAGTACTAAAAATCAGATCTAAGGCGAAGTGTATTTACTCATTATGTCATGGATTTACGGTAAAGCCGAAAAGCTTCTATTTTATGTAAAGGATCTTTTCTCAAAGTACGGTCGTTAATTTACAAGAATTTATTCTCTTGAGCGCAACAGAAAACGGCAGTACTTTTTTGTTTTCTAGATTAAAATGCGAAATTTACTTTAATTAAGATGTTCACATGTAAGTTAATCTAGCAACCAATTTTACTCCTGGTGCATCATACAGAAGCAAAAGACGGCTGACACACAAAATATTTGAATAAATAAAAAGTAAATGTACCGTAAAAATTAGCCTCAATATAATTTTAACCTCGCTGATTTTCCTCTGCAGATTATGATCACCTTTACTGTGATCACGCTTTTCTCGGGAAAATCTTCAGCAGCTACAACTCGGCATTTCCCGACGAAAGTATCTCGCTCAGTCGAGTCACCCGAAAATGCAAAATTAATACATCCATTCAGCGCTTTCCAAGCTCAGCAAAAGCCTGGAGCTGATCTTCTGATGGCAGGAAGTAAAGTCAACTTTTTCCACTTGGAAACATATCGAACGATAAGTTGACTTGATATTTTCTAAGTAAATAAATAAAGCTTCCGTTTCCCTTCGTATTCTTTTTCTTCCCGTTTCCTTCGTCATCGTCGTCGTCGTCACCTCTGCCGCTGCCTAGCAGTAGCAGAAGGTCATCGCCTTCTATTTTGGTACTTCAATTCATGCATCGTTTGTCTTTCAAATTTTACGGAAAAATAAAATCTTTCATTCGCTCGTCGCAACTTCAATTTGAATAAAAAATAAACTTAATACGATCTTTAAAGTCCCTTTTTACTAAATCATCTTATAAAGATTGTGGTAAGCGAGCTCTTCACAAAAGTGTGCTTTTTGAACGCGCAAAGTGTGTTTATAGGAGTTGTAGTTTTGTGTCGTCTAAAAAGTATATAAATCTGAAAAGGACATTATTTTCAAGTACTGTACATCAAAAATTCGACAGGCGTGAAAACACAGATTCCAACAAAATGTCGTTCGGCTTTCACTGTCACGTCAAGATGAAAGATCACATGTTGGCCAAAGCGAATTCAAGATATTCATCAAAAATGGCTAATGAAACGTGAATAAAGAACATTTCAGCACTCACCAAAAATTCGTGGAATTTCTCAGTCGACTTTCAATTTTGTTTCTTTCCTCGAGTCAACTCGATTCCATCACAAAAGAAACATAAGTGATAACAGCACACACAATACCTGTAGATTGAGACTGCTTTATTAACTACATCTATCTTCTTTTTAATAATTCAAGAAGGTCAAAAATACGAAAGATTTTGTCGAACAGATCAATTTCAGCAACCTCACGAAATCACATGAAGGCTTTAACATCAGCCTTTCCGTAAGTGCCTCGCATTTCTGGAGGCAATGGTTGCATAAAAAAAAACAAGTCCACGACAATAAGAGGATCAGCATGACCTTCACGAAATCATTGCCAAACTCGTTTTGAACAGAAAGAAAACGATATTAGATAATCCACTTTGTGCCATCTTACACTCAACAGTAAAACCTGCGCACAAAGCTCGACAGAAAAAAATATTGGCTTAGGCATATTGCAACCATTGTTTCCACAAAATTCAAGGCATCTACATTTTGTTTTAGCAGTTGTTGATTTCTGTGTTTAGTAGCGGATTTAAAGAGTAGGGAAAGCATTAGTAGTAGCAGCAGTAGTTTTCTCTTAAATACTTTAGGGTAGTTAGCCAACTTTAGGAGTCCGGCCCGAAACCTATGGTTAAACAACAGATACTTCCTGCCCCTGGCGTCCCACTTCTTTGTTACGAAGTAGTTGAGCTGTGGCTGTCGGAACTACGGTGGCATCAAGTGTTGGCAGCTCCTTAATGCGGTGCCGTTGTTCCGGTAGACCTGTTGAGCTTTAAGCACAAGGAGCAGCAGATGGTAAATCCTCAGGACGAGTTTCGAGGTTGTGTACTGAGCTATTGCACACGCCGTCATCGTCACTGCGGCCGCGAAAAAGAATTCTCCTGTCGTCAACTCGTCCAAACTCCCGGCAGATGGCAGGACTGTGTCCATCAAGGGAGACACGCCGGTGACATGCAGGAATGCTCCTGTCGCCGTCATTGCACTGAGACCCTTTCGCAAAATAAAAATGAGGTACGCCATTTTTTAATTGAGCTAGGAAATAAATTAAAATAAACGAGCACAATTTTGGGTAGAGGGATGGTTTTGAGGTTTTGTCCATACAATTTAATCGAGTTTTTTTTTTTTAGTCCGGGTCTTGCTCTTTTGACAAATCTATTCGTTCATTCGCCGAGGTATTTGTTTCAATCGCAAATCTGAGTTGGAGAATATCTTTCAAACCAATCGATAAACATTCACGGCTTCAATTTTGTCATCTGTCAATGTTGCAAAACTGCAAGGATCAGATTGTTTTCTTTTCATCGGAATGCGGTGGATAGACACGGAAAATAATCCCTCAGAAGATTCTTCAGCTATTTGAAAGCATTCAGAGATTTTGGATTTCCTAAAAATTCACCAAGCATGGAAAAGCAGCAAGCAGTTATAATTTTCTTTTTTTTCCAACTCACCGTCGTCTATCCATTTTAACCCCGGCACAAAAAATTACGACGATAGCCTTGGTTTTTTTTATAGTGTGGCTCCTTTATAAAGACTTAAGGAGCTCTCACTTGGTTTGTTATGAGCTGGTTAGTATGGGTAGTCTAGGTGTCCTTATACCTGTAAACCTTTCGAACGTCCAAAGACGAGCTCCGCAGTTTTCAGCGTTCCAGTAAATATGAAAAAATTTTCCAAGACAGAATTCTGGGCTTTGATTTTCAACAGAAATAAGCCAGTACCTCAAGTTAAGGACACATTCGTGTATTATTAATTTTGATTAACTATCACTGCTTCCTTTTTTTCAAAAACCCATTCATTCATTCCTTTCCTTCACGGCTCAAGATGAAATCGTGGGAACGAAATACCATCTTATCAAGGTGAAAATAGATTCTATGATTTCCTTTCATTGAAATTAATTACAGGCTCAATTGCTTGTTCAATTTAAACATACATAATTAAAGACCTCCTGCAGATACAGTACTTCATCGAGTACCATACGCCCTCAAATCAGACGCGCGTCTTCGATATTTAACTGAATTTTTTTTCAAAAATCATATGCTTCATGTGAAAACATGCATGCACCTCACTTTTTAGTCATCGAAATTCCTATTCGAAAAACTGCGTTTTAAATCTAAAATGAAAAGATTGGTAAAATCTAAATTGAAGCCCACTTAAAAATCGAATTGGATAATACTGCATTATTTTGCATGAACCAGAAAATCGCTATCATTAAAATAGAGAACTCGAAAATTGTTTGAAACACAGGAAAATTTTCTAATTTCAAGAGAATGCTTCTGGGAATTTTGCATCGCGCATCTAATTTCTTGCAAAAATCTAAATTGCAGCCCACTCAAAAACCGAATTCGATGTTGATACTATATACTGTATTGGTTTTTTAAAATATTAGTATCTATTAAAATAGACAACTTAAGACAATTTTTCGAAAGTGGGGAGGAAGATATCAAGAAATGTCTCCTGAAATATTTTTACGACACACCTAATTTTTTACACCACTTTATAAGAAAAAAGGTGCGCGTGATACTCGAGTAAATGCGAAACACATGATTTTTTGACACAGTAAAACACTTCCGGACGCCCTATACCTAAAAGTCTCACAAAGCTGGTACTGGATAGCGAGTCGAGGCGCACGGACTTGAACCTTACCAAAAGACCACTCTGCAACCATCTGGCGGTGTCGCTCCATGGTCCGACATAGACCATGGTCTCACTCTCACTGGCTCCATCCCGTAAACGCCATTTATCGGTTTTCCTCTGGGCCTTAAACGGCGTCTTATGCTCATCTTCCAGCCCAAAAAGGCTCCTCTGACTCAAGCAAATGGGCTTCCAGTCTCTTCGCAGAATATTTGCACCCGCACTCAAAAGCACTCTCATTCTGCAACACAAACAATCGAGCAAAACGAAATCCCCAGGGGAACACACGAACCGAACATTAGGAAAAGAACAGCAGTGAGAAGAGTTGAAACTCATTTTTATTCCTCTCGCTACAACAAACCAAGATAGAGGTTAAAAACACGCCAATTCCGTCAATCACTCTCTACTTAGCGACAAAAAAAATCCCACACGAGTTTCCTATGTTAGCACCGGAAGTCCAATGATCAGGTTAAGCTTCATGCACTTGAAAAAAAAAGGTTCTATTCCACTCAAAACTTCGGATACATTTTCTCAAGACAGCTCTTTAAAAAGAGTCACACCAAGCAAAATAGACTGAAAACCGAAATATATGACCACAGCGACCTTGGTTTGACTACTAACGAAACTTTTGAGCACCTGTGATTAACGAAGGTTCAAAACACGCCGAGAACAAATTTTTGTACTCAATTTCTTCTCATATCTTGGACCTTGGACGTGTTCGAATCAGAGCCATTTATTTGCCTTTTTCCGTCTGGCGGGGATGAAAGCAATATTGCACTAACGCCGTTACAGATTCCAAGTTTTGATTACCGATTCCCACAAAAAAATCCATGATTCAAACACGTCAAAGCTCCAATGGGCTTAATATTGCTATCAAATTTAAACGGGATAGTATCTTTCAAACAAATAATACAATAACTAGCTTAATCGTCAAGACTGATTCGAAAATTTCTTCCCAAAAGCCAAAAAGGAAAAAAAAACACTAACATCCGAAAACTTCAAGAGCCTGGAATCCAATTCTATTCTTATAAATGAAAGATACGCAGAAAAAGTGTTGACGATTCAACAAAAAAAAACCTGATTTCAATTATTCTAGTTTGAATTAATAGCATACAGACATTTCTGTACATTGCTTCTGATGCAAAGCAATGGTACACGCTCTTTCATCGACTTCGAGTTTCATCACTCTTGCGTTGTTGGTCTCGAAATGTTCATGATTTCCTTTGAACGTCATGTAATGTCCACTCAAGCTTACAGAACTGAGTTTGTTGCAGTGTTCGCATTTACAGGGGAGAAGTCTTTTCAAATTGAATTCCATAAAAAAATTCTGGTGTCACTGTAGAAAAAGGTGAGATTCGTTGCAGTTGGGCTGGTTTGAAAAAAAAAAAAAAAAACGATTCCCCGAGGTTTCCTTAACCTCAATTGCAAGAAGCAGATTCAAAAAATCTCAACTCTAAGCACGCATGTGAAAATCTAAACAAATCCAGGTGGGATACAAAAGACTAGAGAGCTCTAAACGTAAGAAGAGCAAAGCCTCTGTCAAGACAACGAACGAACAGAAAAAATATCGCCACAACGAACTACCACGAGGCACACGGGAAACGCGAGAACCGAGGCGCCCTTCAAATCCTCGTAGCCGCCAACGCCGCCATCAAAAGCGTAAACGGCACCGCGAGCATGGTACCATCGTTGCAACCATTATCGACACAGGAGCACTGGGTCGTTTTCACCTCCTCAACCGAGGTGAAGTAGCACTGGCGTCCCTCGATGTAATATTGCTCCCAGCCGCAGGAACGGTAAATATCATTCTTGCCCTTCACTGCAAAAAAATACGAGACACGCAAGGCGTCAATTGCGGGGAAATAATATCCGGCATCAACAAAGCCATAGAGTGAACAAAACACACGGGTCAAAAGTAGACCAACTCGATACTCCTCTAACGAACTGCAGGAAATAAAAGTCGAGTCATCTCAGCTAAAGTTACACGGGATGCCATCCACTCAGCGTATCATTTTTCAGTCTATCTCAAGCCCTTGTTTACGCTTACCAGTGGATTCGACATGAGAAAAAATTGTGTAAGAGCCCCGATTAGTTCTATTTTATGAGTCATTTTTAAATCTATCCAAAAGAGGGCAACATAATTGTACAATGGCAACCCTGCTATTACTACGCTTACACGAGCGTTGAACGCGGGTTCAATTTCGAGCCCCTAAAAGATTAGGATAGCCATCTTGTGAACATTAAGAATTAAAAATGACGACCGTAGACTTCGACTGACTTACCAACATGAGTAAAATTTTCCTTCAAAAAGATCAAGACCATCAATTCTAATTTTGTGTGATTACATATCGATAACCAACAAAAAACTCAGTCGCCATCTTCAATACAAAAACCCATTTGCGTGCTCCGCATTAAAATACAAAATCTAACCATGAATCCTTTTCGTTCTCAACAGCCAAAAAAAATTAAATTACCAGCTTGGAAGCCCTTGCGGCAGAAGAATTCAGCCCCTGGAGGAGGTACAGAGCCAGTTGTCTTGTTGTTCTTGAAGTAATCGTGATTGCACGTGATGAGATGACCATTTTTCTTGGCCTTGGCGTGATCGAAAGGGTCGGCACAGGCTGGATGTTCACTCGTCTTGCAAACGTAACATTCGATGTCCGCCGCTGCCACTATTGAAAAGAAGAGAGAACGATTTCAATACTTTCAAAGGATCAACCAGGGATACTGTACTTCGTTTGCTAATCATCATGTTGATTTCATCATCTTCTCGTGATATCAATGTTAATGACCCTTCACTGACAAAACTTCAGATTTAAAGAAATTTCCTCAAGATCATCCAACTCATTTAATTCATTTCCAACTCATTTAATTTGCTAAAACGTTATTTACTATTGAAATTGAATTTCGTCATTCAACTGCTTTCCGGAAGCTGAGTTTCTGTTTTGAGGTAATCAAGTCTTGAACTTGGAATTTGATAATCGATTACAAAATGCGAATTTGAGGAAGAATTGACTGATAAGTCAAGAGGAAGCTAGAGAAAATCATACACGTTGGCATGATAATGAAATGAATTCCAATTGGACATTTTCTCCAAGATAGAAGATTTATCCATTTAGGAGACGGCACATTTCCAAACTAACCCTTTTCTGCTGGTCCGTCATTAAAATATTTTCAAACTGCAATTCGGAACATTTCATCATAAATGTAACCAACCTGAAACAGCGACGATAAGGAAAACACAAGCTAAGAATCCCTTGTTCATGACCGGCAGCTGAGGTAACACTTGACGAAAACACCAGTTCAAACAACGACGGCAAATAAAAAAAGCACTTGTACCTGTCGAAAGAGTAATTTTTGCATTCCATGCGTTCATCATCATTTCAAGAATAAGTACTACGATGCATCTCGAACAAACTTATTAAAAGCCTCGGATCGAAAAAAATATCGCTAAAAGCTTCAGAACAAGCGAACACTCGCTCAACACATCTTCTGCTTCAAACAACCATGCGGAACACAACAGAAAAAAACAAAAACAACAACAAGCGGGAGATCGGGAACATTTTTTCTTCTCCTGAGACGTAAGCCTCTCGTATATGCAAAAAAAACCTCAAAATTTCCGCTTTTCAATCACTTCCGAAGGCCGCCTTAAAGATCTCGACAAATCATTAATTCCGGGTAAACGAACGACAGCTATTACACTCCTCAGCGAGACGGCACGGGTTCACATGGCTTTAGTAGACATTCATTGCCAGACTTCAGTTCGTCATCTAGAATTCCATCGAAATTTCAACAACTATGAGGTAGTCTGCATCTTGCTCTCACTCAAGGCATTTTTCATTGTCGGAATCCACTTACGAACACTTCACCTTTTTTTTCTTCAACAACTCATATTTCGAGACATTCCAACAACATTGTAACAATCGCAAAAGGGGATAAGGTAAAAGCCATAACAGATAAAAAAAACACTGCGTCCCTCACGCTGAAGAGCACAATAGCCACCGGGGAGGGGAAAATCCTCTTTCACAGCATTCGAACACGTTTTTCCATAGTCGACCCTCAATTCCTCAATCAAGAAAATGCGGCGAGGATGAGGACGACGGCGGCACAGGCGGTAAGTAGAGAATCAACCATCCCGAGGCCACGACGAGGCGACGAGTTACAGGCGTCTGTATCACAGTTGCAGGTTTCGGTATCGACGCCGTCGCGGCGGACGGAGTAGCAGCCAAATGGCAAGCCATGTTCCAATTCCCATCCACAAGTTCTGAACACGGTATCTGCATGATCAACTGAAAATTAGAGAAAATATGGCGTGCTTATGATCCAAGGCGTAAGTACATCATCGATCCTCGTAATTTATTATCCGGACTATTTTTCATAATATTTCAACTCTTAGAACTACTCCGGGAAATCTGATTTCTTTGAATAAAATTTTCATTCGGCATGGTAGAAGCTTTGATACGTACTTTAGAATATGGTAAAATGGAAGTATAGCAATAGAAACTCACCAATTTCCTGTCTTTTACGGCAAAAGTAAGTAGCATTTTCCGGTGGGGTTGTTCCTTGTGTACGTTTCTTGGCAAAATCTTTATCACAATCAATTAAAAACTTTTCCCGATTCGCTTTGAGGGTGGATGAATCTCTGCAGGTGGGATCATCCTTGGAATGGCAAAAAAAGCAAGTGATACCATCCGCAGCTGGAAAAAGAAATTGTGAATGCAGTACCTACTAACGAATAAAACCGACGAAAATTACCAATTACAGTAGAATGACCCATGTTTTTACTTCGACTGCAGCAAAAATTAAGTGTTCCAGTGCGGGAAGATTTCACCAGAAGTCCCACTGGAAGTGTAATTTTACACCGCCTACAATAGGCAATTGCTAAGGAAGTCCAACTCTTAATAGGCATTACGTTCAGCGACAGAGTTTCGAAAGAAATTTGTACAAATACTGTACGTTAGTAATCCGAGAAGCGTTGAAATAAATCTTCAAAAACTAGAATAACTCCCTGCGACTTCGTAAACCTTTTAAACCTTCAAATTTGTTCCCACTTTTTGACTGACACAAAGAAGGCTGATCTGTTTCTTTACGCACAACCGTTTTCTAACGCACGTTCAAATCCCTGGATACCCAATATCCAGTACAGTATCGGTGATAATTTCTCCATCAACAAAAATTATCCAATTATTCAACGATGCCCCGCCCGACCCCGTTGCAGTCAACACGAATTCTATCTTTCAACAATTGGCCAGAATCTAATGAAAACTTACCTCCAAAAAAGAAGCCAACGGCAGCACAAACAAACCAGAGCTGACGCATTTCTACACGCACTGAAGGAGGAAAAGAAATGTACACAAAGTGGAGCCGTGGACTAAAATCAGCACACAACTCAAACCTAGGCAAAGGCCGCCTGCAAAACACAAACCAAAGAAATAATGTCATTATCGGGAAATCCTTTCGAAAATGAACTTCCTCGCTACGAAAAAAACATGAGATGCAAATATAGTCGCGGGACTGAAGGCAAACTGACTCATTAAGGCATATGAAAAACGCAGCTCCTGAAGTCGCAAGCCAATTTCAAAATTCAAGGCTGAAGAATCATGTTTTCTGAACAATTAACCATCAAACATTCACCAGTGCGGGCGACAAAATCAAATAAGGAAACGTTTGAATACAGTGCAACTTGACTTTAATGTCGAACACTGATAAAACATGAAAAATATTTAATTTTCTTTATAAGCTCGACTATTTTAAGTTCCCATCGCTGGTTTAAGGGCTGAAGCATTTTTTTTGCTCAAGTCAATATTTTAAGACACTGCCACCACTGATATCAAATATTTCACGTACAGTATTGCCACCCAGGCAACGAAAAGCTGATAGACAGGAAGAACATGAATATAAATTTGTACCAATACAGTTGATAAATTCAAGGGACGCCGAATGCCTGCATGCAATCGAATTCATTCAATCATAATTTATAACCTTGAACAAAGCTCATTTTAGTTGAAGATCAGCATCTTGAAATTTTTCAAGATTCGGCATATCAGCGGAAAATCGTTAATCTCGACTTTGATTTTTAAATCGGAAGTCGGGGCAACATAAGGCCAATAAAAAGGACGCTGTCAATATCTTAAAGTGGTCTTCCGATATCAAAATTATTAAATCGGTTCGGAATCCGTGAACTCAACGAGAAATCGATAACAAGCCTCTGCACTTGCTGATACATTCTTTGTTGAAAAATCGGCATTCAAGAAAAACCTTGACATTCGAAAAAAAGTAATAAAAGCGATAGACTTGAAATATTAATACGATTGCATCATACAATATTTTGAATATGGAAAACTCATGAAATCTTACGAGAAAAAGTTTGGAGGGTACACTTTTATTCTAATTTGTTTATTCATGAGTTCCTGTAAATCTCTGCCGATTTAATTTTCAACGTCCACTTCCAAATGGATTGCCATGAAGAGAAGAGCTCTCACACGACCAACAAAACTCAACAGCAAACCCCAACATTTTTCCGGGATAAGAATATCCTCTTTCACCAACACCGCTACTTACATTTCATTCGATGCTGATCAAGAGCTGAAAAAAGCAATCAATAGTATCATTTCCTAAAAGAACAGCCGTCACCACATAACCAAGCACTTGAATGAATTAGGAGCAAAAGTTCTGGCTAATTAAAATGCTTCCTGAGGACGAAAAAAAAATCCCTTGTCGATATGAACCGGTTTAGCATACCACTTGCTTTGCTTATCAGCATCACAGCATTCCCTGCAAAAAAAAAATCAAAAGAAAAGCTGTCACTAAATTCTAGCAGTGAACTCACTCATTCACTGTCCGCCATGCACCACCGATCACCAACATAAAAAAAACCTGACCCAGTATCCATCACTCAGCGCGGCACAATTCGGAGGCCAACGTCGACACACAGGCGCATTAAGTCCCGACACCGACACTCGTGTCAGTGCGGTAAAAGTCGCCCGGCGGCGGCAGAGCCGACCCCGACGAGAAGCAACCAAAGGGAACCAGCTGATGACGTCGATTCATTGCAGAGATCAGTGAGACACGAACAAATCAACATGCGAGCGTCGTCGTCGAGCGACTGATGGCACCTGGACTCCGTGTGATTTGCCACAACCCACGAACACGAACGCTGCACCGTCACGTGGTCCATCACTATGGAAATAATTTAGATGAGAGGGGTTACTCAAAAGTAAGAAGAAAAATAGTTAATTCATCCTGCTGAAAATCTGCAGAATGATTGTCGAGATGTGCAGTTAGTTTCCTTCGAAAAGATCTTTTGATATGTCTCTTGTTGATTGCGTAAGTTTCGAGACGGCGGCATGGCACTTACTGAAGCTTACTTTATCCCAGCAAACGGCGCCCGAACGGAGATCACAGATTAAAAACATGGCGGCTGAACGAAATGCTCAAAAACGGATCGTCGGAAAAGGCTTTAAAAGAACGTCAATTCTAATGAGGATCCTCACAAAAGTTAGAACTTACTTTCACAAAATTAGTCAGGCTTTGAACTTTTGAAGGCATCTCATTTTTAATTATAATTTTTCCTGATTGAGTGAATTTGGAAACAAATACGGGTTGTCCTACCTAGATTTTGTTTTATCAGGAGCTTCTTCCGCATCAGGAAAATTTAATGAAAAATTTTCCCAAAACTTTGTCGGCCTAAAACGACTTGTGCTTGAGTAGCAATGCACTACAATACTTTTGAAAAGCCCCCAAAAATGTAACTCCCTGCTCAAACTAGATTCAAGACGCAGTGGGCGATTTCTAGGAACAGCTGGGATCGCATGTTTTTTGTTAAACGCATGTGATCACAAACCTAACGAACAGATCGCTTCAATGGACGACGTGAACGAAGGATCTGGTAGACAAAATAACTTCCATTTGGAGCAAATCCTTTACATAATATTACATTTACCTTCTTTAAAGCAAGCGCGCATAAATTTCAAATTTTGGAACATCAAATTTCGGAAGAGGAGCGTATACTCGCTCATCTCGGGGATTCCTCTTTTTCCGGTAAACATTTTCTGTTTTTAGACTTACAAAAACAGGTTCTTTTAGAATAAAAATCGGCATGCAGAGAATCAGCGGGTCCCGCATAAAGAAACTTATCCATTCCTGGACAAGTTTCGTTATACCGAAATTTCGTCATGCTAATCGCATCATCTTTCAAGATTCCATTTCAATTCATTGGATTGGTTCCAGCCACTCACCAAAAGATTTATAAACCAGACAATGAGTATTTTTCCGCCGAAAATTGTGAATTTTATATATTTTGAGCATGAAATTTAAGTAACCCTGACAAATCTTGTTAAAAACTTCCTGAATTTCTCCACTTGAAGACAAAAATCTATGCTCTTTCCAAATTTTTCTTGATTTTTTGAAAATTTCGTGAATTTCAGATCGAAACTTGTTGGAATTAGCATATTTTTTTTCATTAAAAAATGTATGTGAAATTATATTTCAATGCAAGCCATGTCCCCCCCCCCCTAACATTTTCGATACGCGGATTTTTCGCTGTAATTTCTTTGACACCCAAATTAAATTACACTTCCCCAGACCCGAATTAAATTACGATAAATCATGCCGAAGTTAAGATTTTCAAAATATGATATTTTGATTGTATAGCCTGGACAAAAATGAAGGCGACCCTCGCCTGTCAAAATAAACATACATGCTTCTGCGACTTTTCAATCAATTTTCAATCTCGTACAATTGTGATACAGTACTACACAATCGATGGCAGAAGAATGCGGCCTGAGCAACAGCGAACAGAAGCAAAACTCTTGTTTATCCGAAACCTCATTCCAGTCAACGTCACACATTACTCGCAAACAGAACCCATTTAACCGCCATTGTCATAACATGAGGATGACATGCTATGAGGAGGGTCTTACACTACTGTAAACACTGTTTTATCCGGAAATCTTCCCGACACAGAAGCACTCACACGGATTCCCATCATAACATGAGAATCAGTATCCGGAAAAAGGCCTCATTCATCCAAGTATTAACCCAAATTGTAACAAAAACGCTTCTCACATCAAACTACTCGGTCGCAACGACGCCGAATGGGAACAGCAAGTGCGACAGGTCAAGTCGATTCTCGTTGGAAAAAGAAAGTGAGACAGAAGACAGACAGACAAACCCGGTCAGGAAAAAAAAAACCAACAGCGAAGAAAAGACAGCGCCGAAGGAAAGAAAATGTAGTTGCGCAAGCACCTCCGGCATGAACCATTACAGCGTCACGACTCCAGAGAAGGAAAAAATAAACTTTAAACAAGCCTCAATGAGATGGCTGTTACCGTACAAGATCAAGGAATGGCCCTTTTTGGCCACAGGCGTTAGCGCCGGAGCCTTTGATCGTGCCTCTGAGCCCTGAAGCCTCCGGTAAGCTTTCTTTTTCGGTAATTTGAGCTTTTTATTAAATAAATCATAAGCATATCTGCACTACATGTATACAGTACTGGATACGTTGTGAAAACATGGAAGAATATAAAAATTTTAAAACCTGATCCTGCAATACGTTGATCAATTCAACATACAGTACACGAACTTTTTAAAATAAATTTCACCACGCATTCCATGGTCACCGAAAAAAGGCTATACTTGTAATGAGTATACAAAAAGCTTGGCTTTGAAATTTCAAATTTTACATCAAAAGTTGACGCATTGTTGGGTGGATGAAGGTGGACGCAACTTTTACACGCAGGATAATTTCTAAACATCAACAAATTCGTGACGATATCGCAGATTTGACAAAAATTGCTCAAACTGATCATCGGGCAATTTAACTGCCGCCCATTTGTGAGCAAGCCTTCGAGAGAAAAATTCCAGCAAAAGAATATATCACTGCATGCTCGAAATTTTATTCATGAAATGTAATTATTAAGGCTCGACGGATTTCGACTCAGATGTTTGGGAAGCCAAACGAATCAATTTCAAAATGACGATAATACTGAACTGTACGGTATTCAAAGTTGAGCTCTTCGTTTCCCAATTCGTAAGGATATTTAGAACCCCGCTATGACCGAATGGTCAGCAGAAGGAATGGAAGATTACTTTTAAGCAAATGCAACTGCATTTTCGAACGGTTGAATTCAGGTTGTAAATCTTCGGTAAAAATAAAAAGGCGTCAAGAGATTTTCGTTAAAAAAAAACAAAATCCGCGTCTAGAACGTTTGCAGACTGAAATTACAGTACTGTACATAATTATAATCAAAATTCTCTGGCCCGACCAAAATGACGAAAGGAAGATATTAATCATAGCCCGACGCGTATTCGAAAGGGTTAGAAAACGTACGAAACAAGGATTTCAAAATACTGTACTGTAATTTGATCAGCAGACTGGTTCGTGCGACCAGTTTACATCCGACACAAGTCATTTCATTCGTCGAGTGGAAATGCACAGCATCGGATTAAGAAAACATACCGCAAAAAATACTCAAGATGTCGATAGTTCTCTTTAAAATATTTAATCTGCACCAAACTAAGTAGATTGCCATTTCTGCGTAATCCACAAGTTTAAAGGGAATAAACTGCCTCACCTTTGTCGAACCGATGTCCGATATTCACTCCACGAAGAATTCCACCACAGAATCGAAAATAAAGGCTTTGATAAAGCCCAGTTCACACTTCATTCATGGGAATGTGACTGCGAAATTCTGCAAAATTTCTTGCACTTACAAAAATTTCATTTCCGATTCGTCCAACGGCGAATTAAGAAGCGTCGAAATTCGATTACTCAGAGTAAGAATCAAGTCAACGGTAAAATCGCGTCAGAGCCTCTTCAAAGTCGATCTAGAATGAATAAATAGCTAGAAGCATTCTTAAGAATCAAACCGACGCTTGGGCACTAAAATCAGCAACTGATCGCATAATCGAAAACAGAAGGCTTTAAATACCCAGCCTATACAAAAAGAATATGTTTTACTGTATTTGAAGATGATAACAGCTATACAAATCAGGTCCGCGTCAAGCACACAAAAAATGGACAAAAAACCTTTCGTGAACTAGTTTTTCGCGATTTTATCCAGTTCCAACACGAGTCTCAGTCGAGAACAGATGGCAAGGATGATAAGTTTTCACCGCGTCACCTTTACGGACTCGGGGATATAAAAAAAGACAATACGATATGTATTATTTGAAAAAAAAAAAGGTTTGAACAATCGAAACAAAATCATATTTGTTTTTATAAAAGAGCGGAAACTAAAAAATTGCGCGCAGATAAGTAAGCTTGTTAACACGTAGGCTTATTTTCTGCGTGGAATAGACGCTAGATTAAATAATAGTTCGAAGTTATTGGTCGTATAATTAAGTCATATGTTAAATGAAAATAATTCAAATAAGGCGCAATTTACCTGAATATAATGGTACGGATTTATGCATTGGGAATTCTAGGTCTTCCATTTTTTAAAACTCAAAATATATAATGCGTTGGTAAAAAGTATTATACATTTCTCAAGCGATTTCACACCTCCATTGAATGTAAGAAGCAGACTGAATTTCATGTGCCGATTTTTTCAAGCGCGTCTTACACTCGAATCTTCTTTCTTTTCATTGAACGTAAAACGCAAATTCAAGCAACAAAAAAAAAATCAGCTCATAAAATTCAGAATGCGTCTCACATTTCGAGCAAACAAAACATGACACGCTTCTACAGCATGTAATTCAAAACGACTGATGGTATTACTCGAATACATTCAGTAACAACCAAACTTCACACCTACAGTCGCAAGTTCGTCCAACCGAATCTGCCGTTCAAAGCATGATTTAAAATTCATTTTCCGACGACTGAGGCATTTTATCCATGAGTGATTTCATCTTCCGCCCTCGAAACTTTTGTTTCTTTCGTCAAGAGAGAAAAAAATGCACATGCGGTAATACCCAAGGCAGTTACGAACAATGTTCTAAGTCGACCGAAACGAAGTAGCGGATTCGTATTTATTTATGCTGGTAGACGAGATTTTCGCACATGCCATATTGTGGTCTCTTCTACCACGTTCTAACATAACGAATGTGTAACAGTGACTGATCGAATCACAGCATCTAGAAAAAAAGCACTAATTTATACAATAACAAATTTTCTTGAAATTTCCGTGAAAATTTACTTTATTTTATCACAATGTGATTCTATGAACTTTCCTTTAGTTTAAATTTCTGCGAAATGGTCCAAGTTCTATCCCGAAAATTGTTTGGGGTTCTTCTGAGACTGAGAGAAATACAGCAATAACTTCATGGACTTCCGAATGATGCATAAGATCATACGTCATTGATTTCTTGAAGAAAACAAAAATAAACGATCGAGTTTTTAAATCGTTTGAAAATCGAGTTTCGCGGAAATAAAACCAATTTAATTTCCGCAAAAGCACTGGTAATCATTCTAGCAATTTCGAAATCAAAAATCCCATAGAAAAGCGCGTTCATGATCGTCCCATTCATAAATGAAGCCGAGAACTTGAATTTTGAAGTCAATCATCACATTCGCGGCAAAATAACCCACGGCAACAAAATGCTTGCACTTAGTGGTGCTGAGGAATGTTTCGCAATCGCCGGTTCAAGGTGAGTTCCGTCAATGCTTGTTACAAGATTCAGCTGGCTTTGCTTCATCGCCTAAGCATAAATAAATACGACCATCTGCTCTAAAAGCGTGTACGGTATAACACCAGAGAAGATGGTGCAAGATTGTATTGTAATGTGTAACAGTGACTGATCGAATCACAGCATCTGGAAAAAAGCACTAATTTATAAAAATAACTCAACTTCTCTTGAAATTTCCGTGAAAATTCACTTTATTTAATCATAATGTGATTATATGAACTTTCCTTCAGTTCAAAACTTTAAATTGCCGCGAAATGGCCCAAGTTCTATCCCAGAAATTGTTTGGGGTTCAACTTTTCGATCATTCACATTCTTGGACTGACAGAAATACAGCAATAATTTCATGGACTTCCGAATGATGCATACGATTATACAGTACATCATTGATTTCCTGAAGAAAACAAAAATACACGATCGAGTTTTTAAATCGTTTGAAAATCGAGTTTCGGGGAAATACGACCAATTTGATTTCAGCAAAAGCACTGGTAATCATTCTAGCAATTTCGAAATCAAAAATCTCATAGAAAAGCGCGTTCATGATCGTCCCAATCATAAATGAAGCCGAGAACTTGAATTTTGAAGTCAATCATCACATTCGCGGCAAAATAACCCACGGCAACAAAATGCTTGCACTTAGTGGTGCTGAGGAATGTTTCGCAATCGCCGGTTCAAGGTGAGAGTATTCCTTGTTCAACGAAACAAATGCATGCAGGCATACGGCCAGAAAATCTCGCAAGTTCACGAGGAATTGAACACACGATATAAATAGAACTTCGTTCTTGAAGAGACTTCTGCCTCTTGCGATTAAAATTACGGAATCTGTACGTAAATTTTACCCGAGGTAATTCAATGCAGCATGAGTTTCGGGCGAGTTTATTTACCAAGAAAATCACAAGAGCGCTCAAATAGAATCCTCTTAAATTTTCCATGGCAATCAAATCAACAATCATAAACCAACCTTAGATGACGCATGATACAGTAAAGTTTTCAAATCCGCACAGCTCTGCTTCATCGGAAATTTCAGTTATTATCGATAATGTTTTTCACGATTGACAGAAGTAGGGAATAAAAAATGTCCTTCAATAGAATTAAACAGGAAATTCTAACCTTTTTGATAGGTTTTCCGGCATGCAAAAGACACGTCGTTCATCTGTCCATAATCCAAGCCGATGGGTAAATGCATGGCCGTGCACTCGTGCAAATATCCTCTGGCTTCGGCAGCATTGCGGTCGAAATCGTCCACCGAACAGTCCTTGTTCTTTTGTGAATTACAAATGTAACATTTCAGGCCCAAGGCCGAACCTAAGACGGAAGCCTTTCAAGCATCTACTCACAACAGAGTCTAGAAACAACTTACTTATCGTCATCATGACGACTAGGATGAACAAAGATGACTTCGTAAACATGGCTTTAAAAATATGCTAAATATCACTGGCATTCGTGAAAACCTGAAATTAATGAAGAAAAAATTATTTCAACTTCGGAGATCACAGCGATGGATTGAATGGGGTTTTCTTGGGAAATTCTGCAGTTACAAGCACCTGAAAACTGCTTGAATTAAGTCGTGATGATACAAAAAATTAATATAAATTCTATTCAACAAGTTCGGATACTACATTTTGTCAATGTTCGACAAATTTCCCGCAGTTGATTCGGGATTGGTTCAAAGCAGAGAAGGTACGGCGTTACCAGACGAACAACTGTGTGAATATTCCGGAAAGTTGCGAAAACGTAAATTAAGGAATATTTGTCCAACGACGGCAGTCAGTGACGAATGGGACAAAATCCTCGCATTATTCAAAAAATTGCTCTGCGTCTGAGAATTTGAATTTTTTGGCCTTTCCGGGTTAATTTCGGGGTGCTAGAATTAAAATGCTGTTAGACAAACAAGAATTATTTTCCTGTAGGCGCCAACAAAATTTCCCCGTCTTCTTCGACGCTGAAAACATCCTGAAAATGCCATCTATTTACTCTAATTTTTCTGGGAAAAGGAACTAAACCCATTCCCAAAACGGCCCAACATTTTTGTTTTCTCTCTTTCCATTGCACCGACTGATGTTCGTCCTGTCTTTCACATAAATTCCGTAAGTATACGTTCATAACTTCTCGAAATATTCACAAAAGATAATCAGATCGTCAATATAATTACAATATTAATTTCATGGGCCTAGAAGCGACTGATTCGCACTGTATAACACGGAAAGCTTAAAGTCATATGCACTTGAAATTTTCAATTATGCTTGCATCTGCGGGAAAAGAAAAGAATATATCAACGCTTTCCTTTTTTTAATGCGCCGGAAAAACACAAGAAAAGTTCGAAACACAGCATAAAAATCATTCAGCTTCCTTGAACCCTTTCCGCTGGCCTTTGTTGAGCGATCGATTCAAAAAGGCAGACGGCTTAATCTTTTTGGAAGCTAGAAAAAGAGGCTCAGCTGGAGCAGACTTCGTTCGTTCCCTTCCAGTACTCTTATCTTTCGGCTTCTTTCCGGTACTTTGGGGTGCAGTTTTCTTGATTTTCTTACCCGTACTTTTGGGAGTGTTTTCCTTCGATTTCTTCCCAGATTCTAGAAATTTCTTTCCCGTACTTTTAGGAGTGCCCTTCTTCAATTTCTTCCCGGATTCTAGAAGTTTCTTGGGTTTTCCATCTGGTGATTTTTTTGACGCCGCCTTATTTGAGTCTGGCGTTGATTTCCTCATTTTCCGTTTCTTCAACCCGGGCGGAGTTTTGAATTGTATCTCAGGGTCGTCTTCGAAAACGCGAACCTCGTCGCCTTCGAATTCACCCTCGTTGTCGTCTTCGTCGGCGGTGGTTGACATTTCTTCTTCATCGGTGTCGATAGCAGAGTCGTCATTAGTATCCATGACTGCGTCGTCGTCGTCGTCGTCCACACCGTCAGCAGAACACTTTTTCAATTGTTCCATAAGTGACTTCAGTGGAGTCAAAGTTTCAAGCTCCGCACGAATCGCTGCTTCTTCGGCTTCTTCCTTCGCCTTCTTTTTTTGGGCTTCGAGAGGATTCTTGGGCGGTTTTGCCTTTTTGAACTTTCCACCATCGGTACCTTCCACAGGATCGGTTTCGGTTATCTTTTCAGTCGGATCCAAGATGTCCTTTTCTTTAATATCTATCCCAAGTTTGCCAAGAGCGAGTTTCTTTGCCTGCAGTTTCCGCCAAGCTTTTGACTGATTCCGCTCCACTTCGTTTGGAAGCTTAAATCGGTCGTGTTCCTTGCCAACGGCTTTCATACGCTTTCCATTTTTGGTTGGATCCGAGGACATGAACATTTGCGGCACTACTTTCGTCCGAGGGACCATTTCACATTTTAAAAGCTTATTCCGGATCAGATAGTTATTTAAAGTCTCAGCAACAGTTTTTGCAACTTCGTTGTACTCGTACTGAATGAAGGCGTACCCCTTACTTTTCCCACTCTACGGAAGAAAAAACCGAAAAAAAAAAATAAATGAAGATAAATTGTATCGAAATAGCGCATGAAAAGTGGAAGATCAAGAATCGTCAGTGAATCGAAACTCTCATGGACTCTTCCCAAAAAATAGTTTATACATATAATTTTTCCTTCTGCTATTCGCGAACCTTACTATCATGTGAAATCAATTCCTCTATACGAATAGATAATGCCAAAAACGTTTTCAAAATTAATTTTTAATTTCTTGAGTGCCTCAGGTAGGCACTCAAGAAATGAAATTACTTGTGAGATGCTGTCAGATATTCAATCTCAATAACATACATTTCGCTTGGATACGATGCATCCTTTACGATCAAGAAAACCACAATTCAGAATCTTACGCATGAGTCAATGAATCCTTACTTCATGAATTCATCTATTATTCTTGAATGTCTTTGATTTCATTCCATTTTCTAACCTTCTTGCAGCGGGCCAAACGCAGTCGTTCGACCTTGCCGAATTGCTTCAAGAATGCCTTGAGACCACTTTCATCGAGTTCGGCGGGAATATGTCCGAGATAGATCACACCATCCTTTTGAAATCGACGACGGAATTTCCCTACCGGCTTCCTGCTTTCTTTATTTTTCGCACGTACTTCTGCTACCGCTTTTTCCTTCCCCACCAACACGCGACGAGTCACTAGAAACTCCTCACCCAATGAGTCTTTCTCACAACTCAAATCCATCATCGGCTATTTCAATATTCTGCGAAGAAAGAAAATTATATGACATAAACTCTCTCCATGAAACAGATGAAGAGCAATCCCAGGTACTCAAGCGTTAAGACATTTTCTTTTCCAGCGAACACGAAGGAACAACTTTGGCAAATGGGACACAGCTCCCAAAAAAGCAATAATACAGTGTTGTAGACATTAAAATGTTTTCTCAAATTGCAAAACAGTTGCGGAAACACACTCCTCGGGTTCAAGGAAATGAGAAAAATTATCTAAAAACGCGAGATTTCCCTCAAAAAACTGTTTCTAGATTGAAAAGAAAAGCAGATAACGAGCAGAAAAGAACCGAAGAGTTCTTTCTTCAAGTAGAAAAAAAAAAAAAAAAAACATCGATTACCATCAACGGGAGAACTGAGAAAAAAAAATTTCCAACACCGGTAAAATGTCGAATAGTTCACGCGCAGCTGTTTTGCAAACCTCATCAGCTCCACTGAATGCAACATGCGCCTTACCACGCAGTCCGCAAAAAACGGCGGGAAAGGCAAAAAACTCATCATTCAACCCAGAACTTGACTAGACCCAGGGCGAACATCACTCAAGATCACTTGGCAACCAAGGCAACTAAACCCGATTGAATATCACGGCCGTCATCACGATCCCAGCCATTTATAAAAAATATAAACGCAACAAAGTTTCAACAAACCGTTCAAAAAGACGTTGCAAAAAAAGAATCCAGATAACAATCATAAACCCCTTTCCTTTTGTTTTCTTTGCACTTTAAATCCTCCATCTTTCAGTTTCAACTCACCTCGCCGGACAAAAAACAACGCGGTACACAAGAAAGACTTTTTTGCATAAGAGCAAAAAATGAAGACCACCTTTCCGAGGGTAAAAAGCACAAGCGAAAATGGGAAAAATTCGCAGCACAAGTCACACTTTCTTGGTAACCATTATCAGATCGATTTGCAAACAGCAAAAAACACGCATAATAAACAGGAACAGATTAAACACTTGGCGGCAATAATATCGAATACATCTATTTTTTGTCAAGCAAACACAAAAAAAAAAAAAAAAATTACGAGAGGCAAAAATCCGGAGCGTGATCCGTGCTTTACTCCGCTTTACGTGACATGGAACTGGGCCACAAGTTGCTTCAGTGTGTACACATGCCCGAGATCCACATTTGGATTCATAGAGATGAAATTTTCCAAATTGTTCTGGCTCACTGTAAGAAGTAAATGAAGAACAATTACTTTCGTGAAATGTATTTCCAGTAAGTTCGAACTTGATTCGTCACACAAGCGCAAGTTTCAGATTCTTCCGCGTCTGAGTTTATGCAAAATTTGTCGGAATTAGAAACAGTTGCCATTTAGCTCTCGGTCTACCATTGCTTTCATTTCTTCAAGAATAGACACGTTCAGCAGGGTTCTAAGGGCGTCCGAAAATTCTATCCTTGCTAAATAAACAAACTGAACTTCGGAGATGAATAGCGGCTTAACGGGGTCTGTGGGTTTCACTTTCCAGTGAAAATTTGTTTGCAAATTTTTCTTAAAAGAAATTCTGTACCAAAATGATTCTGAAATTAATTTTTCCCGAAGAACGAAGGATGAGAGAGAAAAATAATAGGTCGAAGCTAGCTGGAACAAATTATTGCTGGAAATACCCCACACACTCCGGCTCCCCGTATCGTGTAAAATATTGTATGCAAATCATTCACAAAACTCATTTTCTTCGAAGAATTATTCTTCCGTGGTAACGTTAATAACTCTTCCGCATTTTTCTGTCGGAAACACTAACGACCTCAACGCAATTGGTTCAATGCGCTCGGTAAAATCACCATTGATGAATGTATTGACTGGACGAACCTTGCGAGACGATCGGAGGATAATTTGGCGGCGGTTTGAGCCACGAGCCGTCCTCCTTCAGCATGTGCGAGCGATCCGACGCAAAAATTCGCAAGAATTGCTCGGCAGGCACGACCCGAAAATAACGATGATACTCAGGCTTCAAAACCTCGTCCGTCCTGAAGGTCTCCGTCACGTACTTGTGGAAAAATGTCGGGAATGGCAACTCCGAGTCGAGATCATAAACGACCGCTTTGCTCCCTGGCTCCGAGTACATCACGACAGCGTGGTAATCCTGATCAAAAGAAAACAAAAATAATTTTCCACACGTTTATCAAAAAATTTTCTAGTTTATTTCAAATGTTTTAGTTTAGTACCACGCGCACTAATTTCTCCTGGAAAAACTCGGGCAAAAATTAGAAGCGCGTCATGTTCGGGTAAAGGAATTCGAACTTCCAAGTGACATGTTTCCAAGATTTGAAACTTTTACCCGACGGCGCTCGAGTAAATACGTTCGTAGGAAAAATATAATTTTTACAGGCGGCGCGCAAAAAAAAATTACATTCGGGTGAGAAAGTTATGATCCACATGATGAATTCTCCGACTTCATCCCATAACAATGGAAAATGACGTACTGTATATTGAATAGTCATGGCATTTAAATTTTACACCGCATAATCTCAAGTTCGGGTCTCTTTTTTTGGTTCCTTCTGTGGACAAATGAGCAGTGCTTCAGTGAAGACTGAAGAGGCACACAGGGAGTTGTAGGGCCACTGCAAACATGGTTAATAATTATAGTAGATTAAAATATGAATCTAAAAAACCACTTTTTTCAAGTAAGACTAAAAAGCACAAAAAAATTTAGTAATTTAAAAAATTAATCTAAAAAACCACGTTTAGAAAGTTTCAGCTTGCTAGCTAGTCGGGAAGTGAGCAAAATTTGAGTTGCAAAATTTGATCCGGACAAACAAACGGACAAGAAAGCGAGTTAATAAAAACGTGTTAATAAAAATAATTGGGAAGTATTTTTTACTCGTTGTAAGCAATTCCTTTCAAATCATCTCAATACATTAACTTCGGGCGACTTCTTCATGACTTCACGAAAAACTGGGACAATAGTTCTGCTGCCTTCGCGATTTGGGGACACCCTCTACAAAGAATAAACTGAAAAAAAGGTAAATCTCGCACAAAACACAAATAATACTTACCCAGATGACAAGTTTGTCTTCAGATCTCCCAGCCTTTTGACGCCACAAGGGAACTGCTCGTTTATCGTTCGAAATGAATACTGCGAAGCAGTTCGGCAAAGTTTCGCGTCGATGGCACTCAACGTATTCGCACAACTTCCACACATTTTCCTCACTGCAAGTAAACGAAATAAAATACCGGAGTGTCAAGAATTTTGTCGCAACGGCAAGAATGAAACAAAAATTTAAAACTTTATTCAATCATGATCTTCCTCCAGGAGAGCTCCCTCGATGTCGGCGTCCAATTTGAAGTATTAAATAAGTACTGTAATGTATTGTAATTGATAATTATTTAATAATGAGATTTCACGTAAGAATTTAATAATTCTTATTACCATTGAACGGAAGGATAACTACTTGAAAAAAGCACGAAGATGCATTTAAAAGTCGGCGATGATCAATCTTCGCTAAAAGGGTAACAATCAGACCGTGAAATCATAAACCGATCATAAAACAGTTCCCCAAACTTCAAGTTCAAAATCAAAACCTAATTAATTTAAAGATACGCGAGATCTAGAACTAAGAAATAGAGGATAACAAAAGTTCGGAAAGACTTCAGTTCTCGGCTATATTTTACTTAATACAGAGGAATACAAAATTATTTTACTTAATATAGTATATTACGTCGGAAGTGACGCGAGTGCATTCATATCTATCGAAAAAACAAAATCTAATTATTCAGGAGCGACGCAAACATTTCAACAAGCACTAAACGAGGGAATGAACTTTGGTCAAACCCCACTAATTTTAGCATCAGCTAAAATTAGATAAAACGACACTGAAAATGTTACATTACAATTTTCCGACTAACGACCGAATTTCTATCTCTGGATTATACGAAAACTATTGGAAATCAATTAGCCATAAAAATGAAATGAAAAAACTCGATCTAAAGTACTACAAACTTCGGTGCACTAGTCCAAATAATTAGTTGATCCGAAGGAATCAACGATCAACTTTAATTCATAGGTGCTTTCCAATTTCATCTCATTGAATCAAATTATCCATGGTTATTCGCAGCCTGAAAAATTCAAGTTACAGTGCAATATATTTTTTAATGCCCTCGAAGAATACTCGTGATAATGTAAAAACAATGCATTAAACTACTCACCAGTAATACGGAGTAGCGACGCATTCTGAAGCTAGCGGCAACAATTCAGGCACTCCCTTACCCCGCTGCGCGCTAATGAACGACGTCGGATTGGATTCACACGCTGCCATTTGGAATCCGAAAGGGAATCTAGGCTACTCTCTATTCTACCGAAGTACCCAAGTACTACTCTTTCTCACCCACGCTCACCAACGGAGCCGTGGAATGATACACATACAAGTTCTCTGTGGATTTATCACATCATTATCTCACACTTTTCCCAGGACAAATAGAGAAAAAGCCAGACGCAGAAATCACACCGACGCGACTTTTCGGCAGAAATCAACATATCGTACATGGAAACTACATTGATGTGGTGCCCAAATGATTGCAAAACTATAAAGATCGTGAATTCGTTCGTAACTTTTTCACAGATAAGCAGGTTTCCAGAAAATTATGTGCAATCTTCCCAAAGATTTACATTGGCCAGGATATTTCGCTGGAGGATAGGAAAAGTAGGGCAAGGAATTTCAGCCGGTGTGATTTTCAACGTAAACTCCACAATTCAAATAATCAACAAAAAGGAATTCAACACCACGCATCGGAAATCTTTTTTTCCCTTTCAAGGCTTTTAAGAAGCTCCGACACCCAAGAATAACAAAGACATAGACGCGCTTCGTTCCGATTTTTCATCCGAAACCATCCCCCGAAGATCTAGCGATTAAAAGCACAAAAAAGATCCATAGAGACGGCGAGGCAGTAAAAAAATCGGACTCAATTTGTTCGGCTGACGGTGCATTCAAAATAGTAATTCAATCACTACACGCGAATAAAAAAGATAACAGCATCCGCCAATCGTAACAAATTTCAGAAAAAAAAACTCCGGACATGACTCCAACTGCAAGAGTAAAAGTGGACAAACGGAGAGTAAACAAAAGAAAACATCTATGAATACAACATTTTGTCGCAGTTCGCGAGAAACGGGAGTAAGAAAGAGCCGGTTCCGCTCGTTAACTTTCTTATAAACCTTTTTTTCAGTGACCAAGAAAAGTTGGTATGAAAGAACCGAGAGGTACTTCACGTTGCGTCTGGTGCGAGGCAAATTTTTCACTTTCCAATGCCCAGTTTCTTCGCTTCGATTTCGTATATGAGCAGACGCCACATTTTCACAACGAATATTTCTGCCTCTTCATCCAAAACCTAAAAAAAATGCAAAAAATGTAACGCATTTAATAAGACAAAATTAAAAAGAGTAAATCAACAACACCCGTCAGGGACCTCGAGAAACATAAAAAAAAATTAAAATCGTTACAACTGTATTCGCTGCTCGGGAATCATAGCTATAGTATGTAAACGAGGAAGTAAAACTCACCATCTGAACGTCCCCCATGATATCCTTTGGCGTTGTATGATTAATGATTTTTTGGCAAATAAAATCGACCAACGTCGGTTCCTCTTCCCCTATGTACTCCACCATTTTCTTGTTGATCCAGGGTTTAATTCGTCTATGCATCAAACTCTGAAAAATGGAACCCCACGAACCAGTAAATCGAACAGTTTCGAATCATATCAACGAAATTCAACTCACGTTGTCCAGCATATCCCAATCGAGCTGGAATTTGAAAAGCTCTGTTTTATCTGAGGGTATTCTGTCAATGATTTCCTTGATTTGTTTGCGCTTGTCTTCTTCGTTCCCGCTTTTCTTGCGAGATGCTGATCCTGCCGGAGTTCCCGATGCAGATCTAAAAAATAAGAGGCATATTTGCGTTCTCATAACGGCTTCATAGAAAGCGCCAAAACGAAAACATCGCCGAAAGTAACCGTCGTTACACACAAGAACCGATCTCAATAGTCATGGGAAATTAAAGCGGTCGGTCCTAGGCTAGTTTTTCCGCAAGAAATATATATAGAAAAATATTGCATCCAATATATATTTCAAAAATACAATAAACTACGCATTACGTTTCAAAGGTCACGTAGAATGATGCTCTTTTATCGGTTCTATGTACTCGAACAGTATTTGTACGGTCATCATAAATTTGGGAACCCACTTCAGCATTCACGAAGAATCCTCAGAAGAATTCAGAAATATTTTTTAGAAAGAAAAAAGCCGAAGATATTTCTTGGAGATGTACGGAAACAGGAAAAACTGATCTTCACGTTTCTCGCAAAAATTCAATTCTACAGCCCGCGATGTTTGACAAAAAAAAATTCAAGACTGATGAACGTTGAAAACATTAATACGAACCTTTTCCCGTCGTCTAACGACTCCATTGCCATGGCTTCCATCGAATTCTCGTCCTGACCCGCCACCGGAGTTTTCTCCGGCTCCGCAAGTGGTACAGACGCCGCCACAGTAGTCACCGCCGCCGCTGCGACCGGCGGAGTTTTCTTTTTCTCCGCACGTTTCCCGCGTTTTCTCCTGCCGAAATCCCCTCCATCTTCTTCGTCATCGTCGTCATCCGCAAATGCTTGTTGCACATCCAATACTCTCTTTCTTCCAGTCAGCGTCATGGCCGGGATGGCGGCCTTTTCCTTCGCAGGCGGTAACGCGACAGAACCGAGCGACACGGCCGGGGACGGAGGACGCACACTGACCTCGACAGCTCCACCCGCCGTCGCCGCTGACGGCGGCGATGGCGGAAGAACTGTTACGGGCTCTTGTTCTGGAGGCGGCGCCGGCGGAGATGAGGGCGGCTTACTGCACCAGAAAAAAATAAATATTCAGCACTGTGTATGAGAAATATTTTCCATCGAAGCTACGCGTACGGACACCCAGACACATAAGATTTTCTAACATCTGGAGTAGTTTAAGAGTCATTTAAGGAGCAGAAAAAGTGAATCGAAAATGATATTCTATTGACTTCTGTTCAACGTTATTTTTATGTTTTTAACGCTTACAGTATTTTCCTTTGAATCGACGCAACATGCACATATTTAGAAAGAATAACAGTTTTTGAAGGGGAAGATAAACGCAGAGTACGTGAAACAAGTAAAATTTTCATCAAATTCCGAATATTATTCTTTCTTCTTGAACCCCAACCTCTCTACACGATATCACACACATACTGTACGTCTGTAATCTTCCCAAATAATGTACTAATTACTGATTTATACAAACTGGACGCAACTTCTTTTGCTCTTACCAACGATCAAGAATGAAAATAAATACAGCAAGCTAAACCGGCCCTGAACAAAGTATGCCTAGCAAGAAGTAAAAAAAAAACGAACTAGGCGACACACGATATAGTAAACGATCCAATGGGAAACATGCGTAAAAATATCAAAATTGCGTTGACCAGAAATGCCGTCATATCGATGGCCCGTCATTCTCGTCACGGGAGGATATTAAAAGAAGATCTAGAATTGATTCTCGATTCGGTAAAGCTTCGAACGTAAGTCCTCAGTTGAGAAACTTTTCGAGGTAGTCCTGACCAACTTAGAATTTCCATACACATTATTAATACTGTACTCGGAAGACATCATGGAAATATTGAACTTTCCACAATAACGGATCACGTAAACTAAGCAGGGCGACAAGTTGCAAAACATTTTTTTCATGTTCACCAAAAATATTTCATTCTACAAAACCGACCATCAAACCTTACGACAGTACAGGGATTCACTCGTCAGCTTTCACCCTGACAACCACTGCGGATAAAACTAAAAACTAGAGCTCAGAAAACTGTCATAGATTTTCATTTCTTCCGAGAGAATTCAATGCAGCACGTTTTTCAGCTTGGCACAACCAGGAACGACTCAGTGGGGCATCAGTTATTCAGAAGATGAATTATTCATCCGTAAGATGCTCGCGACAGGAACAACCTGGCAATGGGTCGGAGTCTCTAGCCCATCGAGGAACGGAATTAAATTCTTCGCTGCGTGGAACGACGTCGCTGATTCATTAAATATGGGAGTGCTGTTTACGACAGAACTGGGAACATGATACTCGACGACTCCCCGAACGTTTAGTGAAAGACATATGAAAGATTCACGGTAATGCATATCCCCAAGGAAGAACGAACGCAACGAACAAGGCAATGAAGCAGTATTTCCGCAATCAGGATAAAACACCAGTTCAATGCAATATCACGTGAATTTGTGGTACTGGTTATCGGAAGAGAAACGATTCGGTGTCTTTCTTTCAGAATCAGCATTTGACACACATGTAATCGTCATTTGCTTCATCATAATTTCCGAATGCAAGCAGTCGACTTAACTCAGGAAATTTGTATTTTTGGGATACAATACAGTACAATGCACTCATTTTTTTACAATCGCGGGTATCCTTTAATGGGCTATTTCAACTTGATTGGCAAACTTTTGAAAACAACTTATTTCTAGATAAATTATCAACATTCATCGTGAAAAGATGAGAAAAACACAGGATCGCGTAATTTTCAAGCTTCTTAACACTAATAATGAAAGAAAAAAGTTGATATTAAAAGAAGATCTAGTGGATTTTCAGATCTTGGATAAGAGCTGAACACAATACAGTAGTTCACTGTACCATAACTTGTTTTAAAATGTTACATTTAAGGTCAGGACTTGAATTCATTCAAGACGAAGGAAATGTAGGATTTTGTGACGTTTCCTTGATCCAAAAATTTCCCGGTTGCATGAAAAAAAATGCAACACACGCAAAAATTGAATTAATCGTGAAATACGAGCCGTCGAATAACGCTCGTGATGCAAATTGAAAAAAGTGTCGTCAAAATTTACTGAAATTTGTTCAGTATTCAAATACGAAGCGCACTTACCGAAAATTCGGTATGAACAGAATTTTTGGAAACAAATTACAGGAATATTATCAACATGACCCTCACCTCGGTGAGATCGTCAAAATTTACTGAAATTTGTTCAGTATTCAAATACGAAGCGCACTTACCGAAAATTCGGTATGAACAGAATTTTTGGAAACAAATTACAGGAATATTATCAACATGACCCTCACCTCGGTGAGCCAATTGCAGCGTCACCATTGGGCACGGACTTGACACGTTGAGGAACGTCGCGCGGCTTTTCCTTTTCCTCCGCCACTTGACGACGAGGAACGTCAACTAAAATTGTTGGCTTGTAATTCGCTTCACGTTGAGTCTTCACTCGCTGGAATTCGACCTGAGGATCCGCGTGGCCCTCAGACATGATTCGAGCACAAAGCTCCTCCAATTCCTCCTTCTCCTTCTGCCGGTCCTTATCATCTAGTTCCTTTTCTGTTTCCCTGTCATTCAATCGACGTTGTAGTTCCCTACCCTAAGATATGAAAAAATTTGAGTACATTCAACAACTATGAATAATAAATAATTAACCAAAATCAAAAAGCCCGCGAAAAGCTTGCAATCGACATATGAAAAATTCAACGGAGGATGAAATATTAACGATTTCGTTAAAAAATTATCACGAACACCAATACATCAGTATAACAGAAGCTGAACTCACGCTTGAATGGGAGTTCAGTTAAGTAGCTTTTGAGGATTAGATAATTTTAAAATTTGTCAAACTCCGGTTACCATTTCCATTAGAAGGATTCAAGCGACGATTCCTGAATTAACTCGCCAAAAAACATAATTTCAGCTTCTGTACAGTAGAGTGTGTCCCCGCAGTTCGAAAAAATATTTCCCCAGACGAGTTTCGTTATGCAGAGTTTTCATTAAATGAATCGCGTTTTTCCTTGAGATTAAGGTGTAATTCATTTGATTTGTTTTAACGACTTACCGAAAGTCCATAGCAATCCCAAAAATTGGCGTATTTGTCAGAGTAAATTTTACATCGTTTATAATGAAACTGAAGTGGTCCTGACAACTCTTGATCATAACTTTCTCCATTTCTCAACTTCAAAATAAAGAAAGATGCAAAACTATACCCTTCATAAATTCATTAAACTTTTGGAGAAATTCTGAAGCTTATATCAATTATTTTTATTTTACCAATTCTTCGGCCAAAAAGTATCGCTATTTCGGTCAATTTCCCCCTCTTGCAGAATTTTCGTTACGTGAATTTTATTACTCACACACAATCACAAGCATTACTTGTTCTGCGGGTACTCACTGTACATCAAAAACCTTGAAGACTTCGTTTGATTTCCCTTTACGCTACACATAGCAGTTGCTAAAATTGTTTTCTTTGCATTTAAATTTTAGTATCTTCAAAAATTCGATCAAATAAGCGAAGTTAATTTTCATGCTGTAAAAACAGTATATTTTATATGCATTACATATCTTCGCACTCCTACAGTGTAAACGAAAAAAAAATTGGCCCTAAAAATATATACTGTATATAAATGTGCTGTATACACAATACATACACTGTATTAATATTTTCTAGGGCCAAATCCTTGAATTGTTTTATTATTTTAAACTTGAAGTGTGCGAAGATTCAATTCACTAGAAGTTCAGCTGAAATCAAAAGCTTCACAACTCACCTTATAATACTTGATGTCATCACGTTCGTCGTCATAGTCCATGAGAAATTCTAATAGCCGCTTTGCTTCTTTTTGCATCTCAAGTTTCCTCGTCTTTTCCTTGTCCTTCTCTTTTTTGTAGTCTGAGGCTTTCGTCTTTTCCCTTAACTCCCATTTACGTAATCTTTCTTGGAAAGAAGCTTCTTTCTCCCTGGCACGACGCTCCAAGCGCTCCAATTCCCGGGACTCTTCCTCTACTTCACGGACCTTTTCCCGGCTTTCACCTTTTTCGCCTTCCGGTTCACGGTCACGATCACGACGACGGCTATCCCGGTCCCTTTCCTCACTTGAAGAAAACGAAACGATGTCAGTACCGATTCTTTCAACGGAAAATTTGCAGGAAATTTCGGAATGCAAGAAGCCAGAAGGCGAAGAAATAACTTACACACGACGGTCACGGGGAGCGTCTTTACGGCGAGACCGACTTCTATCGACGGAACGCGAACGAGACCGAGTTTTCGAACGCGACTTGGATCTAGATGAAGTCTTGCTTGAAAGCTTTTTGGAAGCCCATTTCGATCCGCCAAATCCTNGAGTCTTCACTCGCTGGAATTCGACCTGAGGATCCGCGTGGCCCTCAGACATGATTCGAGCACAAAGCTCCTCCAATTCCTCCTTCTCCTTCTGCCGGTCCTTATCATCTAGTTCCTTTTCTGTTTCTCTGTCATTCAATCGACGTTGTAGTTCCCTACCCTAAAATATGAAAAAATTTAAGTACATTAAACATGTATGAATAATAAATAATTAACCGAAATCAAAAAGCCCGCGAAAAGCTTGCAATCGACACATGACAAATTCAACGGAGGACGAACTATTGAGGATTTCGAGAAAAAATTATCACGAACACCAATACACCAGTATAACAGAAGCTGAACTCACGCTTTAATGGGAGTTCAGTTAAGTAGCTTTTGAGGATTAGATAATTTTAACATTTGTCAAATCCCGGTAACCATTTCCATTAGAAGGATTCAAGCGACGATTCCTGAATTAACTCGCCAAAAAACATAATTTCAGCTTCTGTACAGTGGAGTGTGTCCCCGCAGTTCGAAAAAATATTTCCCCAGACGAGTTTAGTGTTCATTAAATGAATCATGATTTCATTAAATGAGTTTTCATTAAATGAATCGCGTTTTTCCTTGAGATTAAGGTGTAATTCATTTGATTTGTTTCAACGACTCACCGAAAGTCAATACTAATCCCAAAAATTGGCGTATTTTTCAGAGTAAATTTTAGATCGTTTAAAATGAAACTGAAGTAATCCTGACAACTCTTGATCATAACTTTCTCCATTTCTCAAATCCAAAATAAAGAAAGATGCAAAACTATACCCTTTATAAATTCATTAAACTTTTGGAGAAATTCCGAAGTTTAAATTGATTATTTTTATTTTAGCAATTCTTCGGCCAAAAATTATCGCTATTTCGGTCGATTTCTCCCTCTTGAAGAATTTTCGTTCCGTGAATTTTTGTAGCGCGGGTTATTATTACTCACACACAATCACAAGCATTACTTGTTCTGCGGGTACTCACTGTACATCAAAAACCTTGAAGACTTAGTTTGATTTCCGTTTACGCTACACATAACAGTTGTTCAAATTGTTTTCTTTGAATTTAAATTTTAGCATTTTCAAAAATTAGATCAAATAAGCTAAGTTAATTTTCATACTGTAAAAACAGTACATAGATGCATTATATATTTTCGCACTCCTACAGTGTAAACGAAAAAAAAAATTGGCCCTAAAAATATATATGCATGTACTGTATACACAAGATATACACTGTACAGTATATCAATATTTTTTAGGGCCAAATCCTTGAATTGTTTTATTTTTTTACACTGGAAGTGTGCGAAGATTCAACTTATTCACTAGAAGTTCAGCTGAAATGAAAAGCTTCACAACTCACCTTATAATACTTGATGTCATCACGTTCGTCGTCATAGTCCATGAGAAATTCTAATAGCCGCTTTGCTTCTTTTTGCATCTCAAGTTTTCTCGTCTTTTCCTTATCCTTCTCCTTTTTGTAGTCAGAGGCTTTCGTCTTTTCCCTTAACTCCCATTTACGTAATCTTTCCTGGAAAGAAGCTTCTTTCTCCCTGGCACGACGCTCCAAGCGCTCCAATTCCCGGGACTCTTCCTCTACTTCACGGACCTTTTCCCGGCTTTCACCTTTTTCGCCTTCCGGTTCACGGTCACGATCACGACGACGGCTATCCCGGTCCCTTTCCTCACTTGAAGAAAACGAAACGATGTCAGTACCGATTCTTTCAACGGAAAATTTGCAGGAAATTTCGGAATGCAAGAAGCCAGAAGGCGAAGAAATAACTTACACACGACGGTCACGGGGAGCGTCTTTACGGCGAGACCGACTTCTATCGACGGAACGCGAACGAGACCGAGTTTTCGAACGCGACTTGGATCTGGATGAAGTCTTGCTTGAAAGCTTTTTGGAAGCCCATTTCGATCCGCCAAATCCTCCCTGCAAATAACACGAAAATTTATGGCAAGATTAGCAGAAGTACAAATTTCGGAAACGATCATCGCCTCTCGAAGATACAAAATAAAATTTTAAAAATATATACAAATTCAACCTGAGATACTTCAGCTGATGGACTTCTACTCTTGCTTTTCATCTTGACTTTCTCCTCGTCCTTCCTCCGATCCTTCGATTTGTCGTCATCTGTGCGTTTACGAGCATCAGTACGCGATTTTTCCTTAATTTCCTCCTGCTTCATGGTTTCCCTAAATTTTCCTATCTCACGAGAAATGAGCTCCTTTTGATCTTTATCCAACATTTGATCCTTAAAAATGAGAGAAAAGGCAGTGAAACGTGCAACTAAATCATAGGAAAATCAACTTACTTCGCCTATGTTCAGATCTGACGCCGGTGGGTCGAGAAGAGGTTTCGGTTCATTGGAGTCTTCCTGCATGTCGAAATCTGCGTTTCGCCGCGGTTTAGGCTCTGATCTTGCGTTGCTGTAACTCGGCTGGTAGTTTTCCATGGGTGTCTTGAATTCGAGCAACAGGTGCGATAATCTTGCCCTCACCTTTTCGTAAAAATTAGATATCAACATCAAAGGTCATCGTCAGTAGCCATTCAACTCAAAAATTCGGAAAAATAGCATGAATCCCAAAGAAAATAGTCAAGGTGTCGGAAGGTTTTCGATGAGGTGTTAACAAACTTTCGTTCCCGAAATGCAAGTTAAACACATTAAAAGAGATAGGTAAATTTTGAACTCACGGCGTCGTCCTCTAGCTTCATGCCGTCATCCATGTAATCGGCATCCGGCGTGTCTTCATCGTCTGCATTTGCGCTAGATGGTTCCCCTTGCAACTCACGCTTTTTGTCTCCTTTGAACTTGTAAAGCACACTTTTTGTCTTCGCGTCAACTTTCACGACGAGCTTCTTATCCGCGAGCTGAAAGTCGTGTAAGAGTCGAATGGCCCGCAAGCCGCTGTCTGGATTGACGAACTCGCAAAATCCGAACGCTTGAAGTTTGCCGGAGGCGCCTTGCACTCGTTTCCATGCCAAAACGGGTCCACATGTATTGAGCATTTGTCGGACAAGGATGTCCGGGGCTCTCTCGGTTATATTTCCAACGAAAACAGTCACTGGAGTCGCTCCTTCAAGCAACGGCGTTGGATGACCCCCTTGCGGCTGCTTACCCTGCGATGAGGACATGTGCATTGCACGTGGGTTCCGAGCAGCAACCCCGGACGTCCGTAGAAGCGGTGGTGCTGAAACGGTCGCGGACGTCGGTGGACGTGGCACGAAACCACTCATCAAAGGAGGCGGCATTCCTCCAGGTTGTTGAAACGCCATCATCTTTTTACGAAGCGTGTAAAAAAGATTAAGAACATCCTCAATAACTCCGTCAGAAGGTCATTAAAAAGGCGGTCCATGATGAATGAGAAAAAGACATCCAACTTGAAACAGCAACACAATCTCATCAGGGATATTCAAGACATTAAACTTAGGGTCTGCTTTCAGTAAACTCACGCAACGTCGATGTCCGCGAAAAAACCAGACAGTAACTGCTCATGTCGAGGATTCCCACCTAACGTTAACACCATCAGAGTGCTGCTTAATTGAGCGATACTATTCAGTTCGCAGCGATTCAAAAAGTTCTAAAGCGTTAACTCACCTGTCCAGTGGGTTGCATTGCCAATGACATTCCCGGCATCATTCCTACAAGAAAAACTTTTCAATTAAAACTGGAAAAGTCAAACAGATTCTTGCTACGCACCAGGTACTGGGACTTGCATGTACGCCCCAGACATCAAGTGAGGAACTCCAAGACCAGGGTCCATCGGCGGTCCAGTTGGAAATGACATTTTCCCGCTTTATCTTCACACAGACAAGCTCAATGGAACTCAAGAATACAGAAGCCCTATGAAGGAATAACATGAACCTCACTGCTCTGGTTTCACTTGAACTCCCTAACGCATGCACAGATCAACCTACAGCAGATAAAACCCAACCAAACCTCTAGCACTTCGTTGCCAACGCACGTTTGCTACCTGCCGATCAGTGAGAACCACGTTCGTACGTCGAGGTCGATTCGAATAACGTACCGTACGCATAGAGGTGTTGTTACACACACAGTTAAATTATTATTTTAAAATATACTGTGTGAGTTGATAGGACGGTTTTTTGGCTTAGGTCTTATAGCTTAGTTGGCATGCCTATTTTTCCTATTCCATATTCAGTAAAATATCTTGATAATAAGTTATTTCTAACAGAGAGATGGACTTGATCGAAAATGTGCTAGGGTGCTCACATTGTACATTAGCGTACTTTTCGGGGTGCAATCCTCAAGAGGGCTTCGTGGGGTTTCCAGGCACTCAGCTTGCGTTGCGTGCACTGTGGTGATCCGGTTGACAATAACTTTATTCTCTCTCTCCGATGCTGAGTGCGCGTTCAGATGATGTCCGACTACGGTGTATGTTGTGCAACCCCCGTTTTCTCTCGCGCGTATTGGTGATGAAGATAGATGAGATTTTTCTCAGCTCCAGACTTTGTTTCCGTGCTAAAGAGTCTCTAAGCCAGATTTGATGATTAGTATGTGTTCATGTGAGACATCGTGAATTGGTGATGGCTTTCTGGAAAAGAACCTCCGACGTTGTATCGAATTGTTCGCCGATTTTCAGGTCAAATTTATAGTCCATCGGCGGTCCAGTTGGAAATGACATTTTCCCGCTTTATCTTCACACAGACAAGCTCAATGGAACTCAAGAATACAGAAGCCCTATGAAGGAATAACATGAACCTCACTGCTCTGGTTTCACTCAAACTCCCTAACGCATGCACAGATCAACCAACAGCAGATAAAACCCAACCAAACCTCTGGCACTTCGTTGCCAACGCACATTTGCTACCTGCCGATCAGTGAGAACCACGTTCGTCCGTCGAGGTCGATTCGAATAACGTACCGTATGCATAGAGGTGTTGTTACACACACAGTTAAATTATTATTTAAAAATATACTGTGTGAGTTGATAGGACGGTTTTTTGGCTTAGATCTTATAGCTTAGTTGGCATGCCTTTTTTTCATATTCCATATTCAGTAAAATATCTTGATAATAAGTTATTTCTAACAGAGAGATGGACTTGATCGAAAATGTGCTAGGGTGCTCACATTGTACATTAGCGTACTTTTCGGGGTGCAATCCTCAAGAGGGCTTCGTGGGGTTTCCAGGCATTCAGCCTGCGTTGCGTGCACTGAGGTGATCCGGTTGACAGTAACTTTTTTCTCTCTCTCCGATGCTGAGTGTGCGTTCAGATGATGTCCGACTACGGTGTATGTTGTGCAACCCCCGTTTTCTCTCGCGCGTATTGGTGATGAAGATAGATGAGATATTTCTCAGCTCCAGACTTTTTTTCCGTGCTAACGAGTCTCTAAGCCAGATTTGATGATTAGTATGTGTTCATGTGAGACATCGTGAATTGGTGATGGCTTTCTGGAAAAGAACCTCCGACGTTGTATCGAATTGTTCGCCGATTTTCAGGTCAAATTTATAGCCCGCCCAAGTGTAGTGCGTTTAGATATGACTAATCATGAGAATGATTGTGGCGAAATGCATGATGAGGAAGAGGACAAACCTGTCGAAAAGATGAAAAAGCATGATAGTGGATTAGCAGATTTGGAGAAGGTCACGGATTACGCTGAAGAGAAGGAAATAGCGTCCGGTGATATTAAAGGGGTGAGTCATTTCTGATGAAGCTTCGAAGATGGAATTAGTATACGTGAATATGAATGCGTCTAGGCCATCTCGGTGATCTTGGAAAAGCGACGTTTGGAGACACAGAAGAAAGCTGCTTATGAGCGTGAGCTTGCCAAAGTTCAGATTAACAAAGATGACGTTGATGTCATTGTGAGTACGCTTTGGTTTCCGTGATCGTTCGGCATACGTAAAAGTTCGTTTTGATTCCAGATGAATGAATACGAGCTTCCTCGAACGAAAGCTGAACGGTTCTTGCGTATCCACCGTGGGGATGTTGTCGAAGCCCTCACTAGTTTGTTGAATAATGACATAATTTCATGATCTCCTGTGTGTTGTTCTTGTGTACTGAATCTGCAATAAGATTATGGTGTTGTAAGATGGACGTGGTAATTCGATGATTTGTTCTTAATAGCTGGACTATTCGATAGAGGTATTTTCTCCTCTAGCTGTGATGCAGCTTCCTCTCGAATTCCCTTGCAGTTCTGGCTTCCGTTTTTTGTTTCATCAGTCACTAGGGACGTCCTTCTTACAACGAAGCCGCATCTTTTAACAATTTTGTGCTTATGAGCTTGAGCGATCCAGATGCCTTTGATAAACTGAACGTATCTTAATTGCCTTTAATGCTTGTTGCAGATGGCTGTTAGGACGTCCTTCTTACAACGAAGCCGCATCTTTTAACAATTTTGTGCTTATGAGCTTGAGCGATCCAGATGCCTTTGATAAACTGAACGTATCTTAATTACCTTTAATGCTTGTTTCAGATGGCTGTTTCGTGCATTGTGATCGTGTGAGAATGAATCATGGCTGCTGTGTCCACAGCCTCGGCCGCGGAATCGTTTCCTGTCCGCGAAAATTCCACCGCTATTAATTTAGACGACACGATAGAAGGTGAAGATGTCAACGGTAGTCCGAAAGCGAAGCTGGAAGCCGCGGATAGCAATGTTAGTTCCGGCACCTTGCGAGCGTCTGGCGGTGCAGCCGGCGCCGCCGCTAAGAAAACCGACAAGGAGAAAAAGATTGGGCACCGTCGAGTCGACGAAGAAGGCCAAATCACATACAAGAAGATCCAGACGTCACAAATCATGTCCTCTATCCAGCTGGGAATTGCGCACGCCGTTGGTTCCCTGGCTTCTAAGCCAGAGCGTGACTTGTTGATGCAGGACTTCGCAGTGGTTGAGACGGTGTATTTCGCCAAAGAAGGATCCCAGCACACGCCTGCTCATCATAATCAGGACTTTCGCTTCAAAATTTACGCCCCCATGGCCTTTCGATACTTCCGTGATCTCTTCGGGATCCAGCCCGACGACTTTTTGGCAAGTTACATCCGATCGTCGGGTTCTTTTATATTCTGAATTTTTCATTACTTTGCGTTGATCGAATTTCTTTCAAAAAAATAAATTTCCAGGTCGGTCCTTTCATGTTCTCGTACCGGTAGACGAATCCCTTAAGAAAAATTTCTCGCGTTTGTTTATTAGAAGAGTAATGTTTCAGTAGAGATTTCCTTGATCGTTTTCGTTGCACTAAATTTCATTTGGGAGCCAAAAATTGATATTCATCCTCATGTATTCACTCGCATGTAGAAAACAAACGATGGGGTAACCTCGCGTTCAGCTAGTCTAATTTATATTTTTTCGCGACATTTTTAGAAAGTTTACGTTTCCTTGAATGTGACTCTTAAAATTGAAAATTTCAGGTCTCGATGTGTGACTCCCCGTTGNAGAAAACAAACGATGGGGTAACCTCGCGTTCAGCTAGTCTAATTTATATTTTTTCGCGACATTTTTAGAAAGTTTACGTTTCCTTGAATGTGACTCTTAAAATTGAAAATTTCAGGTCTCGATGTGTGACTCCCCGTTGAAAGAGTTGTCGAATGCTGGAGCCAGTGGCAGTATATTTTATCTCACAATTGATGATGAATTCATAGTAAAAACTGTGCAGCACAAGGAAGCCGAATTTTTACAGAAGCTGTTGCCCGGTTATTACATGGTAAGACACGACCAATGTCTTTTAATTTCTGTAATGTGACTCATTTTGATTGATTTTCAGAATCTGAATCAAAATCCCCGCACTTTGCTGCCGAAATTTTTCGGCCTATATTGTTACCAGGTCGGTATTATATCGAATGAATCTAAATCCATTGTTTTTAAAGATGCCTTTTTTCTCTTTCAGTGCAACTCCAAAAATGTTAGGCTCATTGTGATGAACAATTTGTTGCCGTCATCCATCCGTTACCACCAGAAGTACGATTTGAAGGGGTCTACGTACAAACGGAAGGCAAACAAGTACGAGAGGAACAAAAAATCCCCGACGTACAAAGATTTAGACTTCATTGAACATCACACAGAAGGGCTAATGTTGGAAGCCGAAACTTACTGTGCATTGATGAAAACCATCCAACGTGATTGTCGGGTATGTTAAAGCGCTTAGTTTCTCTTCTATTAATGTTCCAGATTCATTAACATAGAATGGCTTCCGCGGAAATGCGCGTGCACCCCAGAAACGTTTATTTTTATGAATTTTTCTTCGTGATCTGGCAGCGCCCCAGAACGAAAGTGTGCGTGAAGCCATCGCAGTCTAAACCCAGCACTGTGAGGCTAACTTGCAAATACAGTCCCTTTGCTTTTGATTGCGTTATCCATTCTTGTGCACGTTTGTACACGTACTGTACACAAGTGGACGCTCTCTACAGCGTAACTGAGCGGAACCAGAAAAAATCTTCGTAGAGAATGGTCTCTAGGAAGTCCCCTTGGGGAGAGAATTTTGGAACCCTTGGGGACCACAAAGAAATAATTCTGCAGGAAAAAATCCGCGTGGATAGAGTCGATGTGTATGCTAATAATCAGCGCTGAAGGTTGTACAATACTTACTTTTCAATCCGAAATTAATCGAAATCACTTTGAAGTATGCGATTGAACGAATGAACAGACATTTTATTGTGCAAATAACGTACTTTTTTTATTAACGTCATTGAGTCCATTTTTCGTTATTTTTCCTGAGTCTTCCAACAAATATTGTGAGGAAATTCCTTCCGCTTTTGCAGTGTTTGAAATATCTACTCTCATGCAGGGTTTCCAGAATTTTTTTGTGCACTGTAAAAGTAATGTTTTTCTACGTTTCAAACCTAAAGTAAACTGTAAGAAGGAAAAGTGACGGAAAATTTCCTCGTAATTTTAAATTAGTTCTATTCCGAGTTCAATACTGTATTCATCGATAGAATTTCTCTCAAAAGGCATGTGTATACAGAGAAGGGAATTCAAGCAAAGTGCGAACTCGAATGCTCTTGTGACTGTTGGTTGGGGAATGTACGGTATCTTCTTCTATAAATTGACATGCATACGGACAAACCAGGAATCCTGTGTATGGTTTTTACGCATTTAGCCGACACACCTACATCCTGGATGCATGGCATCATTTTTTGTTCTATTAATTCGAAGAAATTTAATTTGGATTTGGGTCTTCTGCTGTATTTTGATAGGTGTTGGAGAGCTTCAAAATCATGGACTACAGTTTACTTGTTGGGATCCATAACTTGGACCAAGCTGCCAAAGAGCGTGCGCTAAGACACTCTCCGTCGCCAATGACGGTGAGAGTTGTTTTCTGTTCGTTGATAAAGCTGTGTGGATTTAGGCATGTTTCCGAACACCTCTGCGTGACCTTCAGTTTTCAAATACCGTTCCATAAGAGATGCGGAATTTTCCAAATCCTCCAATTCTTCCTGGCTTTTCGGAGTTCATCCAATCCTTTTTGAGAATGGTTAAAATATGTATCCGCTTTCTTTGCGTTTTCTGAACATTCTTGTATTGCAGAACAACAACATAACTGCTGTGACAGGGAAATTGCTTACATGACAGCGGAAATAATTGCATTAAAGCTGGAAACAGTCTTATCTGTTGGTATTGAGATAAGAGCGTGAGCTTCTCAGAAATTTCTATTTGTGGCAAGAGATTCTTTGTTTCCGGAAAGTCACGAATTCGCCCGAGGTTTTGAATATCATTCCGTCAGGCTTTCCGACATGTTTGGAAATGTCAAGGATGAAGTTCCCTTTTTTTTAATTTCGAATGAAGCGTTTGGAAATACCATTGGACGAAAACTTGTTCAAAAAGATGTGAATTTTGATACATGCTTTAGTTGCGAGAAATTGTTTCACTTGGGTGCCTGCTTTTTTCATCATTTTGCTCATGACTGGCTTTGCGGTTAGCTAGCTATTACGGTTTCTGTCGATTCCGCTCTCCTGGGCTCTTACGAATGAATTTCGTCATACAGTACTGTAGTACACTGAAATTATCTCGATTCTGCGTATTCGTTTCGAAATGAATCAAGCGGACATCAATCCCTTTCGAAGCCAAGGAGTTTTTGTGTGATCACTTTCTTGGTGGCAATGAGCGTTACTATGATGTCCGTTAAGTGAAAAGTTCAATAGTTTTATTTACAAACCTTCGAAGGCCGACGAATCAAAGCATTTTCAATGACTTCTTTTGTTAAAAATCCTGAATTTCAGTAAAAATGTTAATCCTCGAAAAGCTCCTTCTTTCCGAAGGAACTTTCATAATGGAGATTAGCCGTATTATCCTACACTTTCAAATACATGTATTAACTTTCCAAAGAATTGGGTTTTTTCAGTGTCGGATGTGATTGATTTTTTTTAACGATTTCAACTGTAGTGCTGTGAATCAAGTTTTCTTGAAGCATGAAACAAGGTAATTTTGTGAATTATAATTTTTTCTGGTCGTTCGAAATTCGACTCGGAAAGGTGGATGACTGCCTCCTGTAATTATAATTTGTAAAGTGGGCACACTGAAGAATTCTCTCTGTTTGAAAAATTGAAATTTTTGAATGTAGGAGAATCCGGGGAACGACGGATTGAAGATGCAGAAGCGTCCCGGAGCCGGGGACTCGAGCAGTGCTGTGGTGGATACGGAGCCGTATCCGTCGCACAGCGCAGCTGGCCAACAGCAGCAGCACCATTACCACCATCACCGCGACGGCCCGGTGTCACTGGATGTGCCGTCCGCCATGAACGCCTCATACTTCGGCGGCGGTGGCGGCGCTAAAAGCGGACCGGCTTTGACGCGGAGCAAGTCACTCAATCGACAACGTCTGGTGGCCCACTCCACTGCGATGGAGAGTATCCAGGCCCAGTCTGAGCCCATTGACGAAGATGACAATGTTCCGTGAGTTGATGTTGCTCTTCATATTATTTTTGACTTGGTAATGATGGGACGGGTTTTTTCCGCGAGATTCGATCTCCACCGTTGTCGATTCCGACTAATTCGGGGGATGATTCGAAACTTTGTTATCGGGGTCTTCGAATAAAGATTTTGGTTTTGTTTTCCCGGGTTTCTGAATCATAGTCCTCGAAATCACCCGGAATAAAGCAAATGACAGGACTTGAAATGAACCTTTTCCTTTATTTGTAGGTTTTCTTCTATTGAAGCCTTGACTTGGACAACCGTCACTCCGAATACAGTACAGTACATTTAATAAATATCTTTATTTATTAAAAGCTAAGCCGTGGTGACCTTGAAGAAAATCGTCCTTATAAAGCGATTTGAGGAACAGTAGCGCTTTTGGGCAGGGAGATAATTTTTTAAAAGTATGACATCGTTTTAACGAGAATTTTTTGCTCGTCAGAATGAAAATTTCCCCGATACTAACTTTTTTATATCTGCCTCTCATATCTGGGGCAGTTTCAAAGAGCTCTTCAATTTTTTGAATTACAGTGTTTTTTTGCTCTTGGACTTCTTTGAATTGAGAAAAAAATGCTTACCTGACTGGTTAACCTTATTTTCTGCGCAGTGATTTGCCTAATTTTCAACTTTCTTCTCTACATTTGAACCTGAACGCATTAAATTTTGGAACTGTAGTCAAAAAATCATAGAATTTTTCTCTGTAAAATTTGCAACTCTGTGTGAAAGAGAAGCACAAGACCGACAAAACGGGAATGGATTCTCATATATTCATGTGCATTATTTTCTATATAGAGCTCAATAAAATCCGCATAATATCCGCGAGCTGTATTCGTATCGTATATTTAGTCATGTTAGGTTCGGAATTGCTTGGAAGGAACCTGGGAAATACCTCAAGTGTCTTTCCCTCGAATCGTTTTGGATTCCTTTCATGTGACAGTAAGGAATGATTCAATTTTCGTGATCATTCTTCTTTTGGGAAGTACAGTTCAAGGCCTTGTCCAATTTTTATCGGGCAAGTTGTTGAGCGAGGCGTGAACCGGAAGTTGCTTATCAAGATTTGGGAATACAGTACAGTACTGTACGTGAACGTTTCAAAAATAACGCGTTAACCATGGCTGTTACCTTGAAAATATTTTAGTGTGTGTGAAAGTGGTCGTCGTCTAATCAAAGGTCGCGGTCTTGTGACGCAATCGAATTACCTGCGGCGAGAAACACTTTTTGTCATTGACCTCTTGGAATATCTGTGCTCTTCGAAGCCATTGAAAATAACGAGAAAAAAAAAATCGAAGGCTTGATTGTCATTTTGTTTCCTGCTGGTTTCCATCGGATCTTTAGAAATTCCCTTCGATATTTGCTTAACGTTATCTTTGTGGGGGGTGTATTTTCCAGACCGGGTGGCATTCCTGCGAGGAATGCGCAAGGTGAGCGACTCCTTGTTTTCCTCGGAATAATCGATATTCTCCAGAGCTATAGACTGAAGAAGCGACTCGAACATACCTTCAAATCTGTGATACACGATGGGGTGAGTTTTCGCAGTTTTTTCATCATGAACTATCAATGCTTTCAATTTTTGTTGTTTGATTATGACTGTCATTTGTTGGCCCTTTTTTTTGTTGGACGCCTTCCGTTCTCTAAGAACTCCAAATTCTAAACTTAACTTTTCCTTCGACATTTGATAAGTGTTTCTCAATATTTCTTACGACCAAATTAGGTTGGATCGTGTTAGTTTCGATTTATTCTGTATTACATCATAGGTTCTGATTTTTGAAAAATTGGTTTTGGTCAGATAACTTATACGGTTGAAATCTGTAAATTAGAAAGCTAGGTCTATCCTTTGGAACGAGAAACCTAATTTTGAGTACGGTAATTATGTTTTTGCATGAGTTCTGTGTATGATTTCAGGACTCCGTGTCAGTACACAACCCTACGTTCTATTCAGAGCGGTTCCGAAGCTTCATGGAGAAAAAGGTTTTCAAAAAGATTCCGTCGCGTGAGTATATTTTTCTTTCGATAATGCAATTCATCTCGATCAAGACGAAATTTACGAGCTTTATCGATGAAAGAAATTCAGAAAATTATCTACTTCATCTTGTTCACAGTACGTGGTGAAATTAAGTTGCTAGTTTTTCCCCTTGTGATCCCGTGACGAAATTGAAAGAAGCAAACACGTCACGCACGGAAATGAAAGAGTAGATATCACGCGAGGCGTTCCGTATTTTATTTTTTGACTACTCACAAACTGTGTCGTTTTTTTGCGGTGGAGTTTGGAAAAAAACAGGAGAGTGCCGGATACGTTTTGCTAGTTGTTGAATTTTCCTGAAGCCAGTTGCGTATCTGGCCACCCCGTTTTGTAACACTTCACCTAGACGTCTTCAAGGAAATAAATCTAATCGTTATTTAAATCAACGGCGAGTGTCCTAATATAAAATTTTGAACAGATGCGATGGACACGTGTCCTCCTTTTTTGAGCAACGAGGGTTAGTTCAGGAATTTTACCTCTTTTTTCAAAGTCAAGTCCCAAAATTTTCGAAAACGACTGCTTGATTGAAGATTATTTGAATCAAAGTCATGTTTTTAAAGAGTATTGCAGCCATTTAGAATTTTCACAGATCGTCCTGAATCTAGTGAGTGTATTTTCCTACAATCTTTCGTCAAGAACTGTTGTCATTCAGAAGCTGGCTAAAACTGAAAGATTTTTATTTTACCATCGATCAAAATTTTTAAACATTTTCGCCTTCAGTGGCAATTTTGTATCAGCTTTGATATGTCGATTGTGAAATTACAGTACAGAAAACATATTGTACATATTCTTCATTGTTGAAAAGCTTGAAATTGACGGATTCTGAATGATTCTTGTGTACTTTCAAGTTTTTAGTCTGTAGCTTGGTCACAGCACTTCAAAACGTCCTTGACGCCAATCCTAATTTTGTTTGGAATTTTTGAACCAACCTTCGCGTTGTATTTTCCATCTGCCCTTCTGTGAACGTACTCTTGGAATCCTTAGTGTCCCAGTATGGAAGTGTAAGCCGCAGTTATGTTTTTTTTTTAATCCAATTTCGTATTACGAGTTTACGACTTCCAATAACAATCGCCATAATTAAAATTTCGGATAGTTCCGTTTCAAAATTTTTAAAAACGTACCCGTAACGTGATTCTCTTCTCGACATGCTGCGACAGTGGACTTGCCGGAAATCACGGGAAAACACCGGAAATTCCGGACCCTGGTTTCGAGTTACATAGGTAAAGAGGCGCATTGCAACGTTTTGTGTCGTGTCACGCGGGTTTGAGTCCCCTCCCGCGTGCTTCGTTCATTTTATTATCCTCGTGGAAATGCTCTGTATATTTTTTGCCTGGAAGCTCGTATTTTGCATTATTGTCATTCCTGGCCGTCGATTACGTAAATATTTCCTCATTTTTTCTGCATGCGAGATTCCGTTCGATCGTTGCATGACGAGAACGTGACTCCGTGTTACTTTGGCTTACGATCGTCGCTCGTGATTGAAGCAATTTCTGAATCAGCGCTTTGATGAAAGCGCAGTTTCAATTTTTTTAATAAGCTGTCGTAGATCTATCTTAATCGCGTTTTTTTTCGTTCCTGTCTGTGGAATTTCATTAAACGCTTCTTATTCAGCTTCATTCGTATTTTCACGAAAATGAATAGAAATCCTGGTTTTATTCGACAGAAATACTATCATCAGTAGTCGATAATGTTTCTTCCAAGCTGTTCTCGGATGAATTTTTCCACATGGAATGTAATTCGAATAGAGAACTGTAGTTCATAGATAATTTTTAAAATTAAAACATTTTATCAGCAGCATTTGTTTTAAGCGCAGGATTCCCTGATGGAAATTTACTTCCTCGATTGTTCTTTTGTGTGAACGTTTACTTGCACGAAAACTCACACGATCGAAGCAAACTTATGGCATTCATTCTAAAATGATGCGTGAAAATCGCTTTTCTTGCTTTAATCGATGTCTCTTCTGTTCACGTAGAAGAAACTTTATACTGAGAGTCGTTGCATTTTTTTTTGCGAAAAAGAACGATCGCGAAAGTGATTTTTCCGCGTAGCAAGGATTTTTATTCAAATTGAGTCCCGCTGATTTAATTTCGAAGATTCGGATCAGCGCCAGATTTTGCGTCTGTACTAATGCAATTTTTAGGAATTCTCACGAGTTTAGTACATTAAAAGATATTGAATTTGTTTTACGCTGTATTTTCCCCGGAATGTCGAATTGAAAGAAAACAGGATGAGAAGTGTAGTTATCAATTTTATGTCGTCTAGAACAGACAAGTCTATTCTGACGCGTGGTTTGTTTCCTTCGTGAAGCATATTTCATAGGAACAGTTGTTCCCTGACAATTGAGAAGAGGTGAATGCAATATTTTCCTCCTTGAAAGATCTGCGGTATTCTTTGTTCCTTCTTTTGTAGCATTCACACGTAGGCCAAGAACATCGCTTGGAATTTGCTGTTTATTTTCCCGCGCGCGATGCCTTTTGTTTTTTGTTGGTTTGTCCACCAGTTCCGGTGTGCTATCCCCACTTTTCACCCGAAAGCTTGAGCGGGACTAGTTATGCACAAAATCATTGTATAAAAAAAAGCAGAAAGCAGCAAGAAATTGGCTACTTAGTATTTAGTCGCTTGCGAGGCGGAAAAGCTGAGCGAGAGAATCTCCAAAAGTTCCTCTCCGTCTGACCCAGATGAAATGTTATCGATCGTCGGCGTGTATTATTCTTTTTCTTCAAAATTCATTAGACCAGAGGTTTTCAACCGATGTCCCGCGGAGCCCTTGAAAAAATCTGTCGAATTATCAGAGGCCCGACTTGGATTTTCAAAATGATCATTTGATTTTCTAGCAAAATCATCGTCATATGCCATGCTTGTGGGTTATATTCTTCGAAAATTACATTTTTGGGCATGATGTTATGATGCCTTCGAATTATAAACCATTTGTAAATAATGAAAACTTTTCCAACTCTTTCTGATGACGTGGGCTGAAGCGAAAATGTTGAATTGATATCGGAGAAATCTAAATTTTTTGTTCACGAATTCAGAATTAAAATTTGTGAATTTTTCTTTCTTGTGTTTATTTTTACTGTATTTTGCTTTGTCATACTGGGGTTTTTTAAATATTAAAACTCCGATTTCTTTCATAAATTTTAAACTTTTGTGAGGAATTAGACCTGTACCCACATGGAGAAACTGTATGAGAATAAACTTCGGATTGAATCAATCGATGAAAGGTGTATATATTTTTGAAAAGGGTTTCGTTAACCGACAGGTTTGACAACGTCTGCTCGAAAAAATTTCTCGAGAAAGCGTTTAAAGCTTTTGGTTTCATGCAAGCGATCGATGGTGTCCGAGTCGCTGAAAACTTCTGAGTCGTTTTAGCTTCTCTTTTTTTGTGTGGAGATTCTCTCGTTCTAATGTCAGTTGAGTTGAGCGCAAAAAAACGAAGGTATATGGAGAAAGGAAAGAAAAGGTACGAACGCCTTCGACGTTTTGTTCTCGGCAGCCCTGAAGCACTCGCCGTCGAAGAAGAAAACGGCCGCGGCGGTGAAACTGAAGCCTAGCGAGTTTGAGCACGGAGAAGCCGAATCCGCAGGTACAAAAACGTAATGAGAGTAAAAATCGCAATGACGACTGTTGACATACCTACGAGGGATTGTCCATCAATTTCGAGACTCCAATCCCTCACCCTTTTTTTTGCGTAATGTAATAAAATCGACGCAATTTTCTGCGTAATTTCCTCTTGTCAACTTGAATTTAATGTTTTCTCCTTGAGGTCGAGTGGAAACGAGGGATAGATGATCTGTCTTCCGTGTCCGTAATTGAGGGCCGTGCACGTGATGTATTGGCATTATTTTCTTGAAATATGGAAATTATTGACTCAACATTCTTCACTTGCCTCTGGATGGCGAGGTAGTGTAACTGACATTTAAAAATAAAATTTTCAAGTACGAGAAATCCCGGTTTCATTTGGTCTCGGAACTTTGGACCATCCCTCGTACTTTCCGGAATACAGTCGCTTACGACATCAACGCGAATTTTCGCCTTCTTTTTTGCGAAGTTTAGCCACTGAAACCTTCTTCGCGGTTTCAGCTTTGCTCACTTTTTTTTTTCTACTAAGCTTCTCTGGCTGTGGTAGGTCATCTTGCACCAAGATTCGTGAATATGAAAAAATGTGGAAATTTTTTTTTTGCACCTTTGAAATAGGAAAATTGTATTTGTCGCATTGGAACGGAAAGCGCGGACAGAAAAAGTCGAGAAAAGTAGACAAATAATTTATATTAATTTCACGGAAATCGCCTTATGTGCGATTGACATCGATCCCGAATTTTATTGAATCATTGATTCTATATGAAATTGATCCCGAGCTTCTCTGCGTTTGAATTTTCAACGAAAACAAACACAAAAAATAGTTATGATTAATGATGAATCAATATCGGCCGATATACGTGAAGATATTGTTTGTGGCTTTCAAAAATATTCGGAATTACGTTTCATTCGAACAATATCACTGAAAATTCGACTGTTGAATCGCATAGACTTATTTAAATCGGTGCAAGATGGCAGCCTAATGTAGCCATTTTTGAAATGGAGAATCTCGACATTTTCGCATCCGCAGGTACAAAAACGTAATGAGAGTAAAAATCGCAATGACGACTGTTGACATACCTACGAGGGATTGTCCATCAATTTCGAGACTCCAATCCCTCACCCTTTTTTTTGCGTAATGTAATAAAATGGACGCAATTTTCTGCGTAATTTCTTTTGACAACTTGAATTTAATGTTTTCCTCTTGAGGTCGAGTGGAAACGAGGGACAGATGATCTGTCTTCCGTGTCCGTAATTGAGGGTCGTGCACGTGATGTATTGGCATTATTTTCTTGAAATACGGAAATTATTGACTTGACATTCTTCACTTGCCTCTGGATGGCGAGGTAGTGTAACTGACATTTAAAAATAAAATTTTCAAGTGCGAGAAATCCCGGTTTCATTTGGTCTCAGAACTTTGGACCATCCCTCGTACTTTCCTGAATACAGTCGCTTACGAAATCAACGCGAATTTTCGCCTTCTATTTTTGCGAAGTTTAGCCACTGAAACCTTCTTCGTGGTTTCAGCTTTGCTCACTTTTTTTTTCTACTAAGCTTCTCTGGCTGTGGTAGGTCATCTTGCACCAAGATTCGTGAATATGAAAAAATGTGGAAATTTTTTTTTTTTGCACCTTTGAAATAGGAAAATTGTATTTGTCGCATTGGAACGGAAAGCGTTGACAGAAAAAGTCGAGAAAAGTAGACAAATAATTTATATTAATTTCACGGAAATCGCCTTATGTGAGATTGACATCGATCCCAAATTTTATTGAATCATTGATTCTATATGAAATTGATCCCGAGCTTCTCTGCGTTTGAATTTTCAACGAAAACAAACGCAAAAAATAGTTATGATTAATGATGAATCAATATCGGCCGATATACGTGAAGATATTGTTTGTGACCTTCAAAATATTCTGAATTACGTTTCATTCGAACAATATCACTGAAAATTCGACTGTTGAATCGCATAGACTTATTTAAATCGGTGCAAGATGGCAGCCTAATGTAGCCATTTTTGAAATGGAGAATCTCGACATTTTCGCGATTTTTTCATGTCAGTTTTAAAAAAAAATGGAAAAAGTCCTCAACGCTTATTCGGTATCGAATATGTCTTGAATTGCCTCAGTCATACTGTGCTGTGCATCAGCAGTTTGTGTAATTAATCGCGGGAATGTTTGTCTTTTTTTCTTTACATTTTCCACACGACCCCCGAGTACTTTTTTTGCTCTCTCGTTTCCACAGAATATTTTCTCCCTTTTCCGTGTAGAATTCAATTCGCGATGGAATGAGACGGATGTTTATTCTATGATGATTTTTTCTGAAAAAAAGTATTCCTTGTTTCCGGGACGATTTTTTCTCATACCGTGCGATGCTTCATCGTCCCTTATTCTGATCGGTGTCAAATGCCTGATCGTTATTTTTTTTCTGCTTTCGATGTTATTTTTTTCGGGTAGTCGCTGTATCCTCTAGAAGGGATTTGACGTAACGATAATTAATTGGAGGTTCTTTCAAGTGCGTGTTTTGAATCTCATTTGTTTCCTTTCTTTGAATTTGTTTCGAATTTTCAGAGGGAATGTAAAATACGAGGGTGTGATATTATTGAACGAGAAAGTAATCTCATGTCGTTTCTCACTTGCTTCGTTTCCCATTCGCACAGAAAAATGTCTTCAGAATTATTTTAATACATTTATATATTTTTTTGCAAACTTGCTTCTTTGCTTTGCAATTAACTTTAACATCAAGAGGAACACGTTCTGACTCTTTGAACGCTGCGATTTTTTTTTATATCTCTTCCACGCACATTTTTTTTTCCCCTACGCCTATGCTGTAAATTTTTTTCATTTTTGGGAATTGGTAAAAAAGAAAGGGATGGTAGCTTAGATGTGGGGTTTTTTGTATTGATTTGACTGCGTCCTTTGTTTTCGGTGTTTTGTCGGTTCCGGTGATGCTGCTATTCGCGTCTGGGTGGCCGCTTAAAGGCTTGAGCCATGTAGAACATCATCGGATCAAAGGTGAGTTTTTTCTTTCTCTCCCTTTTATTGTAAAGCAGGCTTTTTGCGATATTCTCATTATCTTCGCTTTTGTTTGATGGGGGATTTTTATTTTAGTCTGGCTTTTCTTTCTGGTGAAGGGAAGTGGATGTCTTCCTTGCTTTTGTTTGGAATACTTTCGTCATTCTTTGCACAGCGAAGGGTTTTCTTTTTTTCACAGTGATGCATTTGCGGGTTTATGGTTTTTGTGCTCGCCAGAAAGTTGTTGAATTCATGGAGAGGAAGGATGTCGGGACAAAAGAACGCCTGTCTGCGAAAAAGAATTAACAGTACAAGTCAAGCGGGATGCCAGTAAAAAAGGGAAAAAATTGAAGTTTTGGAGATCATGTGTTCGACATGAATCCTGTATTAAATTTGATGAGCTCGCTTTGAGACTTTTTTTTATGAACAAGGCCGATTGTTTCAGAGGCGAGAAGCAGCTGTAATGGTTTTTCATTCGTCTATGTATGTATTTATGTTAACTGAAAGCGGAAAGTACCCTAATAATCATCTCGGCTGATACGCTTTTGCGTTTTTCTGGAATTCGGTAATACTGTACCGTACTCCAACGTATTATCTTCACTTCGGCAGATTTTCATTGAAAAAGCTCTGTTCGATCACGTTTTTTTCACCTATGAATTGAGATCATTGTTTGAATTTTAAAACAAAAATAAGGCCCCGTGTCGTCTGTGCAGAAAAAAATGAGAGTTCGTACATAACTGTACAGTACAGTGAGTTCCCGCATAAGAAAAGACTTACGCGACGGAAATTTCGCATTACGAAATTTCTTGGATGAGGAGTGATATGCATTACGAAAATTTTCAACCCAAAAAAGGTAAAATGTCAATTGAAACTTCGGTTTTTTTAAAAACAAAAATGAGGGAATGAACTGATGAAGGACGAAGGGTCTTTTTCTGGCTCTTCTTTTCTTCAAAATTTGTGAAATTAAGAAAGGTCAAAGCTCAAGCTCTTCAGGAGTACTTTAATTTACTTAAAAGTCCACCTTTAAATGTTGAAAACTAGGAATAACAAGCGGTTTTAATGTTTAATTATCGTGTTTTGGTGACTGTCGGCAACAAATAAAATTATTTGCAATGGAACCTTGAGGAAAATCGCTGTTTCGCCGAACGAAAATTCAGGAATGAATCAGTTTCGTTATGTGGGGACCCACTTTATAATGATCAGAATGAGATATTTCGATGATCATTTTCATTTTAACGATTCTTATGTGAAGGTTTTGATGAACTTTGCAGGGAAATTATTAATTTTGACCTGGGACATTTTTCCATGGTATACTGTATTCAGTGCGTAAAAGCGTCATCGTGTGAATTTTCAACTGCTGGATGACTTTTTGACGGAAGCAAGGAAGTCATCTCTGAAGTGCTACTCTCTTATGTAGACTATGGGGTCTGGCTTGCATTTTTCGAACTTGAAGCAATTCTGCAAGAAAGGCTTTATTTTATTCGAAGAGAGTTTTCGTATTTTAGAAGCGGTCCTGATTTTTCTAGAAAGTCCAGTTCATTGTTTTTTGCTGTCTTTTCGTCATTCCTTTCTCTCTATTTTTTTCCTGCTGCTTTGTCGTGGCTTGTCTTGAAATCCGCTGTGGTTCCTGGAAAAGAAGGGAATCCGAGTGGCGGTGGTGGTGGCTTTGGTGGGAATGGCGCCGGGGCTGCACCGAAGGCCGTGGCACCAGCGGCGGCGGTGACGGCTTTTGATGGCGCTGACACGTTGTCGGATGCCGGTGCTGGTGCTGCCGCCGCAGGTGCGACAGCGGCGGCATCGGTAACGATGACGGCGGCGGCGCCGTCACCAGACCCGGGCACGGTGTCGCCGAGTGACGTGACGCCGGTGGTTCACTGGCCGTCGGTTTTGCGGGACAGGCCGCGGGTGTCTCGTGGGCCGCCGCCGCCGGTGCCGCCCCGAGGCTCGGGCACTAGTCCTGTGCCGCCTGTCCGCCAAAATGCCCCTGGCGCCGCTTCGGGTGGTGGTGGTGGAAAAAGCGTCGGTAAGTTATTTATTCATTTTTTTCTTCTGCTTTTTGCTGTTGCTGCTATTTCTTGTCGTCGCTTGGCCTGAACTTTTTTTGTGCTGCATATACAGTAGTTGCATGCGTGATTTGTGGTGGGGTGCGTTGTTGTTGCCGTGTTGGCAACCCAGCGGAAAATTGAGTCAAGTGAGGCCCCGAATTAAGGACGCCTAAACCTACGGTCTGTTCGTCTTAAAGACATTTTTATTTCGAAAATTCTGCCGCGACATCAGGGCAATGTCTCAAGATACGCACACCGCAAAAATTTCTGGAAAAATGGAAAATTTACATTTTTATGTGCCTGTATCTTGACCAAATAAAGCTACAGTATTTATGATCACAAAATTTTAAAAGCAAATCTTATTACAAATCCACTCTAATTGATTATCCAAAATAGCATAATTTAGTATGCTATTTTCTTTTTTTTAGGGCTTTTCCATCATCTTGTGCGCAGTATAGCGAGACTTGTGCTTGTTCTTCGCTTTTNTTGTGCTTGTTCTTCTCTTTTTGGACTCCTTTTCTTGCCAAAAGGCCAGATTTTGTGTGGTTTTTTCTGCACAGTTTGTTTTTTCTTTATATAGATGTCTTGGAAGTTGAGAAATTTTCCTGGGACTTCGTATAAACTTTTGACTAATCAGTCATGTATGTTCGTTCTCATTTAATTCTGTGGGGTAAACGTGATTCGACGTGTGGACGTTTCGACATAGGGACAAGGTCCAAGAAACAATTATACAGTACAGTATTCGCATCTCGTGGTCCTACTGCATTGTACCGTGGTGCCTCGGATAATGAACTAAGATCCGTAACAGTGGAAAGGAGCTTTCCCGAAAATTTCATCAACCGAGAAATTTATTGCTGTTTCCATTTTCGAATTAGTTCCTGATTTCCAAATAGTCATTCAACGAACTGATCAGATTTGGAATTTCAAGTCGAACTTCAGGGGACCAGGAAAAAATACGCCTTGGAGAGGTTTCGAGTTGGGGAAACTAAAGTTCTTTTTTTTTTTTTAAGAAAGAAGAATTGCAAGACATTTTAATTTATGATATTCTAGGCTTTGAATTGCTTCTGAAATGAGTTGACAGGATGTTGAACTCGTAGGCACGGGTTTATCATTTTAGCAATTCGTCCTTCATTCCTTTCACAACACCTCAAGTGACATTTTAATTGCATTTCTCTTCCCTGTGTGAATAAAATAATAGCCAAAATGCCTTCGGAAAATTGGAGCTATGGAGATTCGAGGAGGAAAGGCTTCGAGATAAGGAGATTTACCAGTTTATTTTTATGGGAGTCTTTTTTCGAAAGTTGAGTTTGGCACCTATGGTTTCAACCCTGGCTGTCGGCGTTCGTTAGTCACGCTCCCGAAATAATGCATTTACCCTCGAATGCGATATTCTGATTGCATTTCATCTTCCCTCCTACGCGAATGAAGGAAGGTGTTCACGAAATAATTCAGAAAGTGCCCCTGAAGCTGGTTGCCATGCAAAACTCCTCTAAACATTTGCGAGGAGGAACCCGGATGATACCGGTAAGGAGGGCGTCTGGAAAATACCGCGTTCGTGACCTTCTGAGCTAGATTTTTTTTTTGTGACGATTTCCGGCTGTCGTAGGAAGTCATTCATTCTTCTCTTTTTTTCCCCCGATTGTTTGGAACAAATGAAACCTAGAAGGGCCTTCTCATGCCTTATTTTTGCTGAGCTACGGCACAGCAAACATGTGACGCTTATATGCCTCATATACTCGTATCAGACATACATATGTCTTTTATGTCTCATGTACTGTGACACCTGTATATCTCGCATACTTGAGGCCGTTTTTCGCTTGAAATAAAAACGTTGCTGCTGTTTAAACTTGAGTTATTTATGCAGAAGCCGCACAGACCTGAATATTGTGGCTTATACAGGTGGACTCTCTTTACAACGAAATTCAGGTGAACGGAAAAAATCGCTTCAGGGAAAATTTCGTTGTGGAGAATCTCATCGAAATGAGCTCAACTGAAGAAAATGTTCATGTCGAGAAACTAGTTTTAGAGAGAGGTTACCTGTATTCGAGATCATGTCCAACATCAGATTCCCTGATTCAAAAAAAATTTAATTTCTAGGTTTACGTCGTATAATTTTTTTTTTTTTTTTTACGTTGGAAACCTGCTGGTAGAAATTCAAAACAATTTTTTTTAAGGAAGAAACCTCTACGGGTAAAGTTCACATCTTGAGTGAAAAATATCTGGGCAGAATTTTCTTTATTACCTTCTCAAATTTGCCTGTCCTGAGTTGTGGTTTTTTTCCTGAAATCACTGTCCGAAATTAGGTTCTTGCTTGTGGTCAAGGGAATAAAGTATTGTACTTTGAACACGCCAGCCTTCGTACGTTAATAGTTTTGAAAGCTCGTTAATTTTTCGTAAGGAAAAATGCTATTTTCACTCAAATACTTTTCGAGACTTCTTTTTTTTTTTTGAGTTGTTGCTTCGTGAATTGACTTGAAAGAGTTGGGTTTTGTCTTATCTTCGATTATGTTTTAGATGCGAAGGCGAATTGCCTCATCAGTGTACCTTTGACAGAAACCATAATCACTAATTTATAAAAGCAAAATTTGCTGAGACGCCAGCCTTTGTACGTTGATAGTTTTGAAAGCTCGTTAATTTTTTGAAGAGAAAAATGCTATTTTCACTCGAATACTTTTCGAGACTTTTTTTTTTAGTTGTTGCTTCGTGAATTGACTTGAAAGAGTTGGGTTTTGTCTTATCTTCGATTATGTTTTAGATGCGAAGGCGAATTGCCGCATCAGTGTACCTTTGACAGAAACCATAATCACTAATTCATAAAAGCAAAATTTGCGGAGAAAGTTTCCTCGTTGCATTCTCAGCTTGAAAGCGCAAAAGTAGGAGTCATAATTTCTATCGGAGCTCTTCGAGGAGATTTAAAGCTGGTAATTGAAGCCTGAAAGCCACCGAAAGACTCCTCTAATTGTAAAGAAAAAAATCGAACGTTACGAAAGCGTGTCTAACATTCGAGTGAATACGGTCTGTCAAGAATGTGAGCTTTAAATAAATTCTATGTCGAGGGGAAACAGAATCTTGGCAAACGGGAGATATTGAGTGCATGCGACAGATAAGCCCACACGTTCTCCTTTAGCGATAAAAAACTGCCAGATGTTATTGTTGGGGGGGGGGGGGGAGTTGTCTTCGGTTGTTCCCTGTCAACTTTGTTTTTCATGCTTTCATGCGGACGAAAATGAATTTTGGCACCCGGTACTAGACGAAGAATTGCCTCGTGTCACGGTTTCTGCATCGGAAACTGTCGTTTATTTTTGCTGTTCTAAGTTTGGATTCCTGCAAAGATTTGCCCCGCATTCTTGTTTTTTCCGGGATGTTCTTGGTTGGACTTTTCAGAGATCTGAATGTTTTTTACCCTGTAGATAATGTCAAATTATATTTCGCTTTGAAAATTAAATTTTATTTGAAGCTGAAAGTTCAGAGCTACATTCTATTCTCAATTAACGCTTGATGACAGAGTTTAATCCAGCTGGAAAAATTAAATCCAGTATTGACTTGGCGGAAAAAATGTGGGTGTATTTCGACATTGTTTATAAAGAGTCCAGTTAATTTCAGTACTGTTTACTTCATCTGAATTATTCCGACAAATAGGTGTGACTAAAATTCCTTACTGCTCAATTTTATGCAGGAAATAATCTTTCCGATTCACGGAGAGGTTTAATTTTCCCTCAAAATTCGAAAATGTCCTTGCTTGAGAATAATTTAAAACGCCATGAAAAGCACATACCGCAAGTAACGATCAATAAGAGAACCGGTTTCCTCCACCATTTCCGAACCAAGGAAATTTTTTTTTTTTCAAGATACATTTCTGTAAACGACCCTAAATGTTTGTCTCGCTGAAGAGCAGTATTTTTTATTCAGTTTTTCCGCGTTTGCGTCGAGGAACTTGGTGGGTTTCTTTCGGAGAATGTACTATTTTTACTCTGTGAAACTTCGGAGGAAAAAGGTACTGTATTTTTTATGCTGTTCCTCGTTGTCACGAAAACTGTAGATGCTAGATGTCGCCAAACAGTTTTCTCGTAATTTTTTGTGTTTTAATGTACGTAAAAGCCATTAACGTTGTTGACTTCATCTTCTTTTTGCGGTAATTCCGGGACGGAAATTGAGGAAGCGAAAACAAATGGTTTCATTTGTCTGAGCTGCTTCAGTTGAAGAGAAATGAGTCTGTTTGAAGTGGGCTTTGTTCATGAAATGAATGTCCTTCAGTTTTCGTTTAAGTATTGCATAATAAATCTTTTTGTGTTTTTTCGTACCCATTATCCTTTTTACGCTCTTGAAAATTGCTAAAAGAACGAAGATTAATTTTTAACTAACCTGACAAATTTTTAGCGTTCTGTGACATGGGGGGGGGGGGGGAACTCCAGCTTTAACTGGAAAGTGTTGACACACCATCATGCAGTGGACTGAAAAACTCTTTTACAAACCTGAAAAATTCCCGCAAACTCGAAACGTCATATGGTCATGTCAAGATTTTTTTTACAATTGCACATGCTCAGAAAATATCAGAGATCGCATACGACTGGAACAACACTCTATTGATACCCTTCAATCAATACGCGTTTATATGGAAGACTTGTTTTTACGGTAAAATATCCTTGAAACGAAGCTGCCTGAACCTTGAAAAAAAAAACTTGATTGTAGCGATACAATTTCTTGGAGGAGCTACTCAAATGACATTATGTCTATCGGACATGGACCTGAAGAACGAATTCGTTGTATAAAAGAACGGGATAATGAGATTCGCTGTAACAGTACTTTTGTATTGCAGCTAAATCTCGTTACAACGAAGCTGTTGGAACCGGGGAAAAAGCCTTGTTATACTGATGAAATTTGCTAAGAAGCCTCGTTATAACGATACAATTTGTTGAAAAGCTATTGAGATTACGTAATCGCCGCTGAGCATGCTCTTGACAAAAAAAATCTTTTTATACAATAATTCGTTGTGACAATGTGTTTTTATTGCGGTAAAATTTCGTTACAACGAAAGGACCTTGAAAAAAAAAGCTTCGTTATGCTTATAACGATACATTTATACAAAGATGCGCAAATCATGGCTATTGAGCAGGGACCCAGAGAACGAAGTCGGTTTATACAAAAATACGTTGTACAGCATTAAGATTCCTTGTGAAAAAAAGAAGAAGATTGTACTGTATTACTTTTGATTGGGGTCGGTAGGTATGAACACTATTTCAATCCCAGAAGTGGCGATGAAGCCGAGCCCGGTGAGCTCAGTTCCCATGTTGGCGTGACACACAACTCACTTCGTCACAATTATCGAATTCCCATTTTTGCAAGATTTGCAAATAGACTTTCGGAAGAGAGAGAGAGGAAAAAAAACAGTTGAATGAATGATCCTTGGAGGTGAGATGATGGCGCGGACGGAGAAGCGTTGGGGTTATGTGGTGGTGGCACGGACGGAGCGGGTGCGTCGCCGCGGGCGCCTTGCCCGGCTTTGTGGGTGCTGTGCCAGGTGTTGCGGGTTCTGGTCGACGGAGACGTTCCCGCCGGGCACGATCGTCGCGGGCATGTCGGATCGTGTCGAGGCGTCGAAACGTGCGGGCGACGACGGTAGCGGCGGCGTCGTTGAGTCTCCTCTACTGATTTGATTATCCCCAAGCTTGGTCCCTTCTTTATTTTTTCAAGAAAAGATATTTTGAGGAATAAATGGATTTTGAAGACCGGAAGCAGAGTTATTACTGCGTGTTCAAAAGTACAATTTTCTTGTGCAGGAGGACTCTGAATCCGCGACGGTTCCCGGGGGTCTTTTTCCAAATAAAATACTCGAAAATTATATTACTAGGATAATAAATTAAAATATAAAATTCCGCTTTATTTCTTTGGCCCGAGCATCTTTTCTTTTAACGGGGTTTTTGGACTACGAACAGAGTTAAAGAAAAAAATGAACAGCAATAGTTATACTTTTTTAATATGTCGTCTCATGAAATATCACCCTTTACAATAAACCAATAGTAAATTGGGACATTTAAAAAAAATCTTTTTTGTCTTGAAACAGCAGGAGTGCTGGGTTTTCTATTCGCAGTACTCATAGTTCCGCAGTTTCTTTTTTTTTTTTCAGACTACAACGCTGGTCGGTTTGGTCGTTTTTGCCTCAACTGGAGGCCTTGATATTTTGTTGCCGAGATAATTTCGTTTTTTTTTTGAAAGAGGGAAGAGAATTCTCTTTTTTTTTCTTAGAATTATCTTCCCTATTTCTTTGTTTTGTTTTGAAATTGCGAGGAATGCGGTTTTTCGCATGTGACGCGTACCTTGAGAATAAATGAATGTTCGCATGATTTTGAAATCAGACCCCGCCGTTGTTTGTAGTTTGACAAATGGTCTCATTCAGTGGTGACGTTCATGAAGTTGTGGGATGAAATTATCCCCGATGAATTCGTGCTCAAGTCATGGATCGTGGTATTCTTTGCATGTACGTGTGAATTTCCCGATTTTATAGAGGTTCTTTTCTGTCAATATCATGCATACTGATTAATTTTTCTTTTCTTGTCACGTGATTCTGTTTGGAAAGAAGGAAACCTCGGACCGGCACACGATCTTGTTTCCGGATAACAACAAAGGGAAAGAACATTAAACTTGTGAATATTTTCGAGTGCAATGGTTGGAAGAAGCAAAATAAAAAAAATCTTTTACATGAATTCATTTTTCAAATTGAGAAAGTATGGTCATTTTTATGTGATGTTGAAGTGAGCGAACATGATTAGCGTGAAACACACATTTTGACGATAAGCTCCGGTGAAGATCAATATTACGCCTTCCAACTAATGCGCGAAGGATGTTCAACAGAATTACGTAATATAAGAGAGAATGAACTTGTTCTATAATGCCTTCTAATTTTCAGGATTAAATTTTGAAGAAATTTGACGATACTGTACTGTATTTTAAAAGATAGGATGGGTGTAGTTGTTTTAGTTGAGATGGATTCATTTTACTGAAAAACAAAACAGTTCAAGAAAACCTATTTGTTTTGAAGAAAACTATTTAGATCTGTATTTTTTGTGAAACATGACCGGAACCACGAAAGCAATTAGACAAGTACAGTACATTCTTTGTACTGTACATAAGGTTGATCGCAAGAATTGTGCTGGTCCGACTTCTTGGTTTTGTTGTTGATGTTGGCCTCCCATCGTTCTACAGCGTGGCCCAGAAAATTTTAGACCCGTTTTCAAAATTTTTCCTCAACTACGATAGTCGAAAAATTGAATTGAAACCACAAAACCTCCTGTCGAACAGCGAACACTGAAAAAATGCAATCGGACTTCGAGAAATGTCGACTTGAATGACTTTCAAAATGGTGTATTTGGCTTTTTTTTATTTTTGTATGTAGTACTATGTTTATTATGCTATTAGGCCACCACGAATGTTCCTGGTGTATATTAGGTTTTCTGAGATAACATGAAAGAGAGAGACGTCTCTTCCTGGATGAAATTTGAGAGAAAGCAGCTAATTTTTGTTGTTGAAAGTTTCGTTTTTTTGTCCATTATTTTTCCGATTTTTACATTATTCGCTGTAATATCGAATGAAAATACACAAGACGGCTTTAAATGCGATTGTAAAGAACTTCAATTTGAGCAGGAATCCAATTTTTCGTCTCTCATAGGTTTGGAAACATCGTCGGCTAATGGTCTGAAATATTCTGGGCTACCCTGTAAATTGATGTAAGCGACCCTAATTGAAGCAAAGTTATTGATCTTGGATGTTCCCTTATTGAAAAGGCGTTTCGTGAGAATGAAACCAATAGTTTTCCTTCATTCTCTTCAAATCGTGAGAAATGATTAGCATTCCGCTGACGTTTGTCTATGCTTTTTTTTCTTTCCTTTTTTTTTCTCCTCCTCCGATTATTTGTTGGAAACGGAATTGGCAGGTTTTAACACGGGGGACGCGTTGCCGATCGGCAGCACCCCACCGCCCGGGTTCGACGAGGCGATCCGCGGTGGGCCCAACAACATGTACCCGACATCGAGCCCGAGCCGCAGTACTTACTACACACAGGGCAGCACTGCCCACTCGGTGCGCAGCCAGTCCACGTACTCGTCCAACTCGAGTACTGTCACTTCCAGACAGGAGATCGAGACCACAGTCCGGTCAGTTTTTCATGGAACATGTTTTTCTCTCTCTATCTCCTTTTGTGTGGTTTTTGTTTTCCAAGTCTTGAAGATGAAGAACCAGTTTTGTTTACGATTGGCTCATTTTTTATAGGCATATTGAACATTTTTTATCCAACTGCAGTTCTTGAAAGGCAACTTTTACCCCGGAAAAAATGTTGATTTTTATAATTTTCATTTTATTTTCAGTTGATGCATGAGCGAATTGCGGTCTTCGCGTGCTAATTCATAACGATTGCAGTTTTTTCAAGGCATATAAAGTAAAAGGGAATTACAATACATTTCCTTGATGGATTTTCCTTCGTGGTTTTTCATTTTACCGTAAATTTTTATTTCCAAAGAAACGCTTGTATTGATGCAAGATTTGAAAGAGTGGTAACCTGAAAATGCATAGTGACTTTGAATTCATCAGTTTTGCTCAGTTTTATGATCTCGAAACGATGCACTGTTTACTCTAATGATGTGAACTGTTGGTAAATAAAAATGACAATTTTCCCTTCTGGGCAATTCAGATGATTATCCCTCGGGTTTCGTCAAACTTCTAGAATGATGAGAATTTGTGAAACATCAACTGGTGAAAATTCGTTTGAAAAAATCCCTATCTCTCGATGTCCAATATTGAGGTAGAAAGCTGAAAGTGATGGATTCTTTAGACGAGTTTCTACTGCCTTCCTTCATTATTAGTATCGTCCTACCCTACGTCATTGATATTTTTTAGGATTTAAAAATTATTGCCGTTTTGTTCCGGTTTTGAATGAGGTTCTCGCCTTAATTTTACAATACTGTATACGGTATCTCCGGTGATTATTTTTTCACGTAACGGGGTTGGAATCAGTATCGTATTAACTGAACAGTCCAGGTGTAGTATGTTTTTATTTTAATCTCGGAATATTCTGAACATTAGAAATTACTGTAATGTATGTTTACATGCAGGGCTTGAAATAATTTCGTATGAGAATTTTGTGATTACCAATTTATTATCCTGGATTTTTTCAATTTCTTTGAGTGTTTTACCGTGAGATTTTAGTAAAAGAAAAGCGAAAAACATGGGTGAAACATTTTAGGATGTACAGAGGGTTTTTCAGTTGCGTTACTCCGTGTGATTTGGTTTTGTTTGGCCCCCTGGGCCGCCTTTTATTTTTGTTCATTTTATTCTCCGTGGCGCCGCGGGGTAGGCTGAGCCAGATGACAGTGCAGAGCAAGGCGTCGCCAGGACGCGGCGGCCCACGCCACACGGCGGCGGCCGTGGCCGGAGCGGACGGGACGATGGGACGAGGCAGCGCCTGGACGCCGCCGCTGTCCTCCAACGACAACACGACTTGGACGGAAGGAACACCGTCCTACACAGAGTCGTCTTCGAGCGAAGGTGTCTACTGGGCCCGGTTCCGCGAGGCTCTGTTGGGCTGGTTCCCGCGCAGGCCGCGTTGAGATCACCGAAATGGCGCCTATTTTATTTATTTATTTCTTCTTCGTTTTTGTTGCTATCTTCACTTGTTTTTTTTTCTGTCGAACTGCGGATTTTTCCCTCTGCAGGTTTCCTTCTTTTTAAAAATTTATTTCCGGAATCCATAATTCTTCGTGTGCGGAAATTCTGAATCCGGCGGCAGCGTACCTCGTGCGAAAGTGCAGTTTTCACACCTAACTTCCCGTACTTCCGTTTCTTTCAAAGCGCGTGGCCTTCATAACTAGGAAACAAAACATCTTTCGCCATTCTGCGTAGTTCAGAAAAATTCATTTGTTGTAGGTTAATATGTGAGACGTGTTAATACTATGCTTGTAGCGAGACAGTAAAACAAGTGAGAAATGCTTTCATTTGGACTCCGGACTGAGCAAAATTTGCGTAGATGTTGTATGATTATGTCGAATGGAAAGCATTGCTTGCTTGTGAAGATCGATTCATATATTCGAACTGGTGATTGAGGGGAGGGAAAAGCCAGAGCCACAGTGGACTAAGTGGATCAGTCCTGATTGAAGCGACATCTGTCGACAAAGAAATGGTTTTAGTGCATAGCAGAGGAAGGTGGACCCTTTTCGCTAGTTATTTTCAAGTCATGGCTTTTCAACCTTATTGTGGATCGTACCAGTCCTGAAATATGTCATTGTTGATGTGCCACCTAGCGTAGTACCAATTTTGCGGGACTTTCCCTGGGCTCAAGGCTTCAATTTAATTCACAACTGCATCTGTGACATGAGGAGGACATTTTAATTTGCTATTACATTACTTGATGATTCAACTGAACAGGCTCCAGCTTTTGAATTCAGTGTTTACCTTATCCCCTTCAAAGGTTTTATTGTGTTTCAAGTTTGGCGCTAAAGTCCGCAGTTGATCCATTCAAGAAATAGTATTTTACTGGATGAACTTATTTGTGTACCGTCGTTGAAAAGCTCTGACTTGAGGTATGAAAATATGGTCTAACCCGAAAGAGAATTCGTTAATTTTTTAGAGGCTGCTTATTCTGTGAATTCGAAAGTCTAATATTTGGGTTTAGGGAAATTTTTTTAATGGTTGGTACCCCAGTATGTTTGGTTGGTGAATTCAAGCTATTGCGGCACATCTTTGATGTAGAAATGCAGTAACAAAATACTGTACAGTACCAGGTTCTGGAAAACCTGCAATAAAAAGGCTGATGAAAAAAAAAATCTGCTGAACCAACGAGTGCTTCAATCACGGCGAGTAAAACTCGGTGAAAACGCTGCAAAATGCGTGATAACCAACCGAGAAGGGTAGTTTTTAAAAATAAGTGCGTACATATTTTGGCTCGATATTTTGGTATTGCGGAATCCAGGTGGAAAACTCATTTTTTTCGCACGAGGTCTGTTAGCCACTTGCTATTGGTATTTAGGCCGTATTTTAACACGTTTTTTCGTATTTTCTCCCTCTTTCTTCTCGTTTTCTTTTTCTCGCTTCGATTTCATTTGCGGAACGCTGCTTGCGTAGGTCATACGCCGCGGAGGAGCAGGAATGCTAGTCGGGAGTCGGATAAGCGCCGGGGCTTGGACGAGTTGGACGAAGAGTCGCCGCAGCATGTGGTGAGGGTTTCGCGAGTTTAAGCAGAAGGAAAAATTTTTGCAAAATGGAAAACAAAATTGAGGGATGCGTATCGAGGGAAGCCGTGGTCTATTATTATTTTTTTTAAGCTTATGAGGATTACTTTTGTGGTGCGTTTATCGCTTATTGAAGTCTCTTCCCTGAGTTTTGGAAAAAAAAGAAAGAGGGACGGTTGGAAGTGGATTTTGGTTTTATCGTTTGTTTGTGCAACGAAAATTAGTGCTTGCCTGTTGCTTCTTTGCTCTGTTCTTTGCTGTCTTTTTTGTTTCTGTGTCTCGAAATGTTCGCAGGAGTGAATTGTTGCATTAAGGCCACGTTTGCTTATATTTTACAAACCGCTTCAAAGGGTTTTTACTCTTCCTATTTTCGCTCCACCTAAAGCCTCCGTGAGGGGAATTTTTGGTTTCGTGAGTTGCAGATATGATTATTTTAATCTGCTTTTACAAAATGTTTTATAATTGCAACCAGGAGTTGGCAATTTCTTTCTCACCAATTTGCATTTCATAGCAACCTTTGTATATTCAGCACCACCACCGCCACAAATATTTCCGAAATCGGAACATTTTCTTCTTTTTAACATGGAAATCTTTTTCGTGATATTGTCCTTCGAGAAAATTTTAATATTTCTTTTCGATTGTATTATCTTGTGCAATTTGAACTGCAATAAACTCACTCCTTAAACTCTCAGAAACGGTCAGAAATCCCTGAGAATGGTTCCAAAGGTCGCCATTCATTTCCGTGGGCGAAACTTGAAAAAAAAACCAAACGGCTTTTATGATTTTTGATCAATTTTTTTTATGCATTTCAAGTTTTTGCACTCGACTTGAAGAAATTGATTTCAGAACGCCTGTTTATTTGAGCTGAGTTTGTGAATTGTCTTTTTGGCGAAGGAATTTTATTGGATTTTTTATAGCGTTTTAACGTAAGCTTTTGTTTTGCTTTTATTCCGCATCAGGTTTGTGATTGATTCAGCATTTTAATGCTGAATGGTGAGAATTTTTTTTGTGTCGGGATGCTTATTTTCCGAGCTTGGGTGGAAATTTCGTGCATTTATTGTTAACGCAGCTGATTTATTATGATCCTCTTGCGCATGTCTTTCTCCACTCTCTTGAATTGCTCTTCTTTTCCGAATTTTCTTAATTGCTCCCTTTTGGCATGTGTGTGTGTTTTGCGTGCGTGAATTTTCCTTTTGGGTGAAGGACCTTGTTTAAATGTGTTCTCGTTGTCATTGACGAAAGAGAAAAAGAAATATCGCGTTTCCGTCCATGAGTTCCTAGAAATTTTAAGCGAGAAAATTTTCTCCCGCGCGGTTGAGGTTTCTTTCGAAGGGAAGATGACATTTTATCGATCATTTTGGAGTTTTCACTCAAATCGAACTTAGTGTTTTCAAAATTTACTTGGCGGCGACTTGCGCGGAAATTTATTTTTGTCCCTTCGCATGGTACTTACGTTGTAGGTTTTTTTTTATTCGTGTTGTAATTGTGATGATGGAAAATGCCTTTTTGTTTCTTTTCATCGTGACGTCTGCTTTTGAACAAGAAAGCGTGTAGCTCTTTTTTTTCTTTCTTTGGGAATTGGAGAAGAGGTAGAAGAGACATTGGAATAAAAAAGCTTTTTTCTGTTACTCTCGCTTGTTTTTCGTCTTGGTTTCAAAGTTATTCTGCATGTTTTTTTTCATCTTGAATTGTTACGTTTCACGGATCGTTGTGGGAATCGTTTTATTCGTTGATGATTAATGTGGTCGCCGAGGATTTTTTTAACGTTGTTGCCTGAGTTGATTTTAGTACGTCGCTCGTGACTTTCTTTTCGTATTATTGGAAGTAACCAAAGTGCATGGTTTCCAGAATATCACAAAAAATTGTGTTTTCAATTTTTTTCCGAAATATCGAGAAAAAACATCCGAGCAGCAGAATTTTAGTGTTGATTTTGCATTTTAGTTACAGTCTTCAACTTTTTATATGCTATTTAATCGTGTATCCAAATCCTAATGTGTGGTTTTTGGGATTCAAGTCATAGAGTAAGTCATCCATAATAAGAAAAGTGCATAAAAATTGAATTTACGTGATAAAAGTTGCATTTCAGTGGTTGAAGGAGCAAATTGTTCAGATTAGAGTTTTACAAATTATATTGATTTGTTCATTCGCTCTTCTTGTGATAGCAGCTGCTTGAGATTCTAAGAAATTTTATGATCGTCAAAAATATCCTTTGTCTAAAGCCAAATTTGTTTCAAGTCTTTAAATTTATGAATGTTTTTATCCAAGCATTGTACATTTATGAAGTGAATCTTGTTTATTTTTTTCCGAACAGGAGTTCTTTTTTTGTAGAGCTCGTGTTTCGTGGTCAAGTCTTCGTGTTCCTTTTTCAGGAAGTGTCGCATTCTATGTTGTTATTTTTATGTGCTGCACGGTGAACCGAAAGTGGATATGTCCCGAAATTGTGACCTGGAAGAAATCAAAATTGAATTACAGCGCCTGTTTCAAACCGTTTTCAAGATATGAAGTAGAAAATAAACTTGAAAAATAAATTTCTTGCCAGTCGAGTGATTTGCTCTCAAGATCTATAACTGATGCTAGCATGTCGAACAATGAATTTTGTATGATGTACGATGTCAATCAATCACTGAATTCCGACTTTGTGTACATTGTGCGCTTGCGTTCTTTTTTAAATGGTGGTACGAACATGCGCTGTTCTGAGACGCGCCGTTTTGGCACGAGCTCATCTATTCCGTCTTAATTTTAAATTTCCTTTATGTTGAAATTCCAGTGTTGTTGACTGTCCCACATGTTTGAGACCTTTTTGTTATCGCCAAAACTTCATGATATCCCTTATACTGTACCTTACTTCATGTACCATCCTCAAGTTTTTTTTCTTGAGGAATTTTTTCACGTTGTAAATGAACTTCAGAAACATTTTCCTGATTTTTTCTTCATCAATAATCGTGGTACCCAATTCAATGTGTTGTTTAATTTTTAAGAGAGACGGACGGGTTCATGAGGTTCCGTGTTCGTGGATTTCACGGAGAATTCGGGTTTATGCGTTTGCTGAGGCAATGAAGATTGAAAGCATGCACTTGTTTTTTGTTTATTTTTGCAGACGAGGTTGTAAAGGAAGCTGTTGAACAAACCCATTGACGTTAACTAGCGAGTTGATAAGCAGCCCGGAAGAAATGAAAGCAGCACTACCCGCACCGACAAAAGAAGGGTTCGCTTACGGACGCCGATCCCGGGATAACTTGACCTCCGGAAGGTCGCAGCAACCCGTTCCCGCATCGAGGAATTTTTAGCCAGTCAGTCTTCGATGCGTCGGTAGTAGATTAAGAGCGGGATTCCGAGGTCATATCAGTGTACTCATGTATTCTGTGTATCTATCCGGGGAGCTGATGCTTGATCTAAGTGCTTCCGCTGCAGTTTCTTTTTAATTCTTTTCACCGGTTCTGTTGATGGTGTGTTCCCGTTTTTCTTCGCACAATCTGCCTTTCGTGTTTTTGAGGGTTTCCTTTGAGAAAGAAATCAACGTTTCGAGGCTTTTCTGACGCTGTCTTCCAGCTTGTCTACCTCTTGAGGGGTGTTTTCAAAAAGAGGAGAGATCTGATTACAACCTGATGCACCCAAGCAATCAGTGACAGAAAATTCAGCCGAAGTTTCAACTTTTTTGTTTGCATCAAAATCACAACGAAGCTTTGTCAGAGTGGTTTCATTGAGTTGAACTCGAATTTTTGCTCGATGTCCCCAGGAAAAAAAATTGCGGATTTGTATGGCTTTGTATTTGATGAGTCAAAATTTTTTTTTTAGAAACTGCTGATGCAAATTTCCCCTGACGTCGAAATTTGCGCCGAGGTCTTGTCATGGTCAGAATTTCAGAAAACTTTTGTTGAAAATATCCGTCATTGTCGAAATGTACGCCAAAAATAGAGCGAAATTCCGGTGAAAATTTCGTCTATCCTTATCACGTTGTACCCCAAGACCTAAAAATAGAAAAAAATGGCTGGTGAACGGGGTTCAAATTGTGTTTCAGCACAGTTCGAATCATTTTCTCTCTACAATTATACTGCTGAACATCTGCTGATACGGCCATCGAACATTTTCTTTCTTGAGCTTTCTTATTTAATTTTGTTATTTCAGTACATTGAAATGCTAGGTTTACCTTCAACTTGAGGTATCAAAAATTTCGAATTTATTGTATGCTACGCTTGCGAAATCGAGTGGCTGGGAGTTAGTTTTCTGCTGACATTTTTTTGAGGAGCGAACCTGAAAATGCGTTTTTTTTTATTCACTGTTGATACGATGTTCGTGATACTTCGGAAACTTCCATTCGACTGTTAAGCGACTCGCCAGGATTTGCGTTTTCAGACTTGCGAACGTCTGACATTTGTAGGCTGATTTGATTTGATTTTTTTTACTGTGAATTGCTTAAATTGCATATTTGAAAAAATCGCTGTCCAAAGGAGGGTCTGGTTGCTTGGGAGTATCAGTGGGTGAGTTTTGAAAATTTGAGAGAAACGGGAACATGCCATTTAAGGATTCGGCCATGTTGTGTGTGCAAAAAATCATGAGGGACGATTTTTTTTTGTCGATGTGCAACGTCAAAAAAATTGCGTTCAGCCGAAAGAAGAAGTTTCATTCGAGAAATTTGTTGAGTGCATGCTGGAAGATGCATTGTTTTCAGTGGGGGAAATCTAAGCTGTTAATCGCCGTGAATCAAAACGACGGAGAATGATTGAAGGGTGTTTTTTTCCTGCGGCTTTATTGTTTACCCTTTGTCCGTTCATTTGTTTCTCTATCTCGAAAAACAAAATCGTTGCATCCGTCATTTTAAGTTGAGCTTGAAAGGAGACAGAGAAAAGATTGTGGTCGGTGTGAGTTTCACAGTACGCATGACTTGAGCGATGCGGGGGTTTTCAGGTGAGCTTTAAATTGCTGACTTAAACAGTGTGGGCGTGTGTTTAGTTCCTCGTGCCACATCGTCATGGATTACAACAGAAGAAGAAAAGATACAAAATTCAAGTTCGGGTTCGTTGGTCCGAGATATGCAGGAACTTCCGGCTGGAATAAAAAGCCGTTCGCTCTCAACTTCGCTCGTCCTTTTCTTCAACTCCATTCGTTGCTTCGCACAATTCGCGTATTTTCTTGTTACTTTTTCTTGTTACTAATTTATGGGTTATTTCTGGGTGCATTATTTATGGGTTAAACGTTGGAGTTTCAAGACTCATTTTATTTAACTAATCGAAGAAAGTTTTAGTGGATGAAAATAGTTCAGTATTCTTGATAAATTCAATTTTTATGATCATCCAAGAAGCATGCGAGCGAAATGTCTGGCTTCAGGATAATTCACCGTGGATGTTATTTGCTTTACGGTACACATGTCCTAATTTATAGAAAATGAATAGAAAACTACTTCCAATTTGAAAATAAAATGGTGGATGGAAACTTATTGAAGTCTTCCACTTCGATTCGCTTTCTGTATTGAAACTGAATTTTTTCGCTAATTTTGATTTATTCTATTGAGGTTAGGAAAAAAATCGTATGTAATGGCAGATTTTGAAGCAGCGATCTTGTGATAATTGGAAATGACGTTTTACAACGTACATTATCTTCTTGAAAATCCATAGGTTTCAAAAAGCTACGTATTTATTCGTGAAGTACTGGAATGGTGAAAGTACTAGTTCAAGTTGTTCGTACTCATTTCATTTTGGAAGCCGATGAAGGCAATTCACGTAAATAAATTACGATGCCCTGGGGAAGATCTACGAGAAATTTTCGTTAAAGAAATGAAACTTCAGTGTATTTTCAGTTTCCGAGAAACTCGAAGATAAATTGTTCGTAGCATGGTGAATTCTGTGTAAAGAAGTTTGCTTTGGGTTCACAAATTTAAGGATAATTAATTTTTGAAAAGAATTTCTTTTAGCGGCGGAAGTAAGCGCAGGAAAAGCGGCTCATGCTTTTGGAGAGAAGTGGCCAGGCTTCAGGTGCTTCCGAGTCGACGATCGGATTCACATCACAAAGCTTGTCGGTGTGTTTGAAGGTGTTGTGGACTTTTCGCGAGTGTTGGTCTTGCACCTGTTGGCGGTGAACGTGGTGATTCGGCATCTGAAAGTGAATTCGAGAATCTTTAAGTGCATCTGATTAAACGTCGATTGTGTAGTGAAACGAAACCTGTCTGGCTGTGCCGTGGGCTGGCAGGAAGTCGCGGTAGCAATTCGGACCCGACGTGAGCTGATTGGCATTCCTACGCAAAGATTGGTCAAAATCAAATGATTTCAAATCAAAGAATACTTGGACGCAGGCTATTTCCAATTCTCGTCTAATTAAATCATCCTAAGTTTCCGTGCCTACCGATTGCTGGCCACCGAAAAATCAATGAGTACAAGTAAACTCTCTACAACGATCTTGTCTCCAACGATGTCATCTGTATGCTGTACTGTAATTTTTCTTTGATCCTAAAGGGTTATTTCTCCTGTTTTAAAGGTTCTTCACGACGAATTTTTTTTATCTGTTGAATTTCGATATAGGAAATCCACCTGTATAATTACCGGGAGTTTGTAGAGTAGTTCAAGTCCCGAAGGATTACATTTGTGAAACTGACAAGAGGGAATTTACGAATAGTTGTCGTTTGCTTATGGTATACAGTATCTTGACTTACCTCCAGCAACTGCCATGGTGATCAAATCCGTGCAAATTTTGTGCATTTGAACAGAAGTCGATCTGCGACTCTGCTAGTGTGTCTCGACGTGGCCGTTTCATTACTCGGACGTCGGCGTCGTCTCTCAATGTCCGTTTCAAACTCTCTTGTTTTTCTTCTAAATCTTGATCAGGTGAGACAAGTTATATATTGATTTTGAAAAATTCTTCAAGTTTCAAGTACCGTCGTGGAATTCTTCGGCAGTTCTGGCAGAATCCAAGCCCTGCGCAGCCACGTTGACGTTGAGCTTTGTTCCGGTTTGTAGGCCTTCGTTTTTCAACCAGTTCATTGCCATTTTAATGAACTTCTGCAGTTGCCGCGATTCGAGGCTGAATATATTATGGTTTTAAAATTGAATTGAGAGTTAGTTTTGAAGGTTCTGAATCGGTTCTGTCAGAGCAAGTCGCGGAAATGCCGTGGCAATTTCAGCTTTGATAATTTATATAAGAAGGTATTTATTCGTGGGCTTATTTTATGCATGAAAATAGGGCTAATTACAATAATAATGTTATATTATGGGCTAATTACTCTATGTTCAGGGCGTGATCCGATTTTTAGCGGCAGTTCCTTCCACGAAGCATAAGAAAGAAAGAATTACAGAATATTGGAATCGATGAAATTCTGGTCTTCAAATTGCTGCTTGAATGAGTACAGGGTGCTGAATTTGGAGGCAAGGGTTCATTGGCCCAATTATTCTTCTAATTTCCTTTCAAAACACATCGATGTCCATTATTATTGATTTTCTCTTTCCTGTGTCAGTATAGCTAAAAGGCCTCTAGAAAATTCGGGTTATGGAGGTTTAAGGGAAAACCCTTCGAGTTAGGGAGATTTTTGAAGCGTTTCGGAGAGGGACTTGGAAAATATTCAACATTGGGAGGTAATCGACTTAGAGGTTCGAGTTGTACAGGTTCTTTTGAACAGAGGATTTCGTGGCATTTTTTTCGAAATGAGGTACGTTTACGCACAATAACGATCCGTTGATGTGATGCTCTTGAGTTTCCCGCTGCGCCCCCAAGACCTCAGAAGTTGGAGTGATGACCTGGTTTGCCCGAGGAGTCACTCCTGCTTCCGCCTCCGTCTTCTGTTCACTTTCCCCAGCCAGGGTCTGCAGATGTTCTAGGAATGCGTCCACTGACATTCCTTCAGGACCAGATTTGCTCTCGCCGGACTTTTGAGGCTGTTCAGCCGTCGTCACGACCTTCGACGTCGACCTGCTGGCTGCTGGACCGTGCTGCTCGTCATCGTGAACCACACGAGGGCTTTGGGACTCGAGCTTTTGCGAAGTGTTCGGGACGTCGTCGACGAACGTTATTGATAGGTTGAAGCGCAGACTGTCATCGGTTCCTGTTGTAAAATTATGTAGATTTTATGTAGATGTTGTGAATTATGTAGAGATTTCGGCGTTTTAAATTTTGAGATGGGATGAGCTTTCGAATCGGTTTTCGCATAAGTAACAAATATCTCGTTGATCACGTTCAGCTGGAGACCAATTTCAGTCTAAATTGGTCGAGTTCTTTTCGTTCGGAATCTCCGGAATAAATTCGATACTTTACATGGATTTTTCTCAATTTTTTGATTCATCACAGCGATGGAATTTCAGCATGTTCAAGAAAAAATGAGAGCTTTAGGTTAACGGTGAAAGTTATTTTAATTCTTGGGACTGGCGAATTGAAGTACAGTACTGTATCACGTAGCATTCAGTCGGATTAAAATATATATGCCTAATACGTGGGCATTTAACGCTATTTCCCCAAATATAAGTGTGTCGGCTTCAATTGAAATGTTTGCCTCTGGCCGAACAATTTTGTCAGAAAAATAATTCTGAAATTATCCGATTCCTGATAAGCTTGCGTAATAATTTATTTTGAATAATACAAATTGAAAGTCGTTACCAGATCCAGCCCTCGGTGTGCCCTGCTCCATAATTCGTACCGTTCTGTTCAAGAATTCAGAGGTTTTTTGAAAAAATGAATTTTTGCAAGCGAAGCGTATGATAATGCTTAAACGCGTCGGAGTAGCAGAAGGATAACACTTGTAGTGGAGGAAGAATTTATTGCCAGTTATTTTATAGGAAATGTCTTTCTGTTGGTTCACATTCCCCGAAAATCTACCTTCAACTGGATTTTATGTCTTTCAAGGCTGCGAATTCTTGAAATTTCATGACCGGATTGTTCTCGACAAATGGCTTGTGAAGGTGGAGCGTATCCTAGGTCTGAATATTTATTGCAGTATCATACTGTACTGAATTATATTTTGAATATACGTGGCAATAAACTGCAGATACTTTTTCGCATCGACCGGCTTTTTAATACTTTTGTTTCGTGTTCCACTTGAATGATTTATGTATGCATATTTTTTAGGTTATTTTTCATAGTGTGAGACGTGATCCGTGTTATGTACAGAATATGCAAGCTGCATGTGGTTTATGTGGTCACGTAGAAGGACATGAAGCCTTCTCAGGTGATGTGGTTTTTCATCGTTGGAAAAGTCTAAATGCCCACCATTTCTGTCTGGTAAGTTTTTTTTTTTTTTTTCGTCTCTTCGAATCAAAGGTCTTCTAGAAATGTATCTTCACTTTTAGTTGTTCTCTCCTGTCTTGATGCCTGGAGATGATCTGAACGTCGGTTTTCTCGGCTACGCAATTTCAGATGTGAAGAAAGAGATTCAGCGGTCTCAGAAACTTGTGAGTTCAAGTTCTTTCGGATTTCCGAGTTTGGTGGTCGTGTTGCTGATGAAAAAAACGAGTTCAGAAATTTTTGATGTGATTGTGAAAGTTTGAATAACTTTAGGTTGTTCAGAATTTGTCCGTGTTGTTTTTGGCTAACTCTGTGCAAGAGGATTCAAACCACATGTTGAAGAAATGTGTGACGAATGAAGAGGTTAAAATAGAAAATTAAATCATGACATCATTCCAAGAAACAAAAATTTTTCGTTAAGATGATAAAAGGGGGAGTTTTCTTTTTCATCGATGATGAAAAAACACTCGGGTGAGATTCTTTCGCTGCTAATTTTAGAGATGAGGTAATATGCAAGGGCAAGAATCGATTTTCTTAATATTTCTCGATATCCTTCCTAATCTCCCCATTTGAGTTGACAATAATCATGGTACCTAAGGTTGCCCATGATGTATTATGGGCTTTTATTTTCCAGGCACCAGCAATCACATTCCGTTGACACAAATTCCACGATTATACTGTACTTGCAAAGGTATATTGAAAATTTCATGATATGCTCGTCTCTTTTGGAAGCCAAGTATCACTTAATCGCTTGGTGTTAAGTTGGAGTATTTGTTTAATGCTGTATTTACTCGGATTATATTGGGAAAAGAGCGTTTCGTTGATCAGTTGTTGGTTTTGGTTGGATAAAAGTTGCGCACTCGTTGAAGTTCGGTTACGTTTAGTTGCATGAAAAGTTGGGTTATTCATTTCTATTGAAGTGTGCATTCATTTTTTTTTTCCCATCGTGTAGCTCGAGTTACACTTCAACTGAATCCGGGGAAGGGGGGCTGAAATGTATAATTTTATGTATTTCATTTTTGAAATTGCCTATCATGATTTTTCTAGCGCTGTAAACTCTGCAAACGTGGAGGAGGCAGTATCGGTTGTCACGTTAGCAAATGCAAATCGTCTATTCATTACCCTTGTGCCGTAAAATCCGATTGGTTGCTGGAATATGTGGACAGCTTCAAGTGAGTCAAGAACTAATTGTTCTTTAAAAGTTGTAAATTTTCTTTGCGTGATGCTGTTGTTGAAAATACTTGAGGCGTTTTCTTTGACAGAGCCTTTTGTCCCAAGCATCGGCCGATTCCGAAGTTCGAGAAGCGACAAGTGGAAGAAAGCTGTCCCATATGTGGCGAATCATTTAGCGTTGAGCCAGCAGGAAGACATTTGTTTCAGGCCAGAGACCCGTTTTCAATTGTGGAATTTACTTGTTGCAAACGGGGTCTCGTTCATCGCCCATGTGCAACCGTGAGTTCAAATTTTTGAATCATGGAATATTATGGAGAATATTATTGAGATTTTTTCAACCCTTCCGTTCGAGTTATCATTTTGTTTTTTAAAAAAATATAGTTTTTACATTATTATGGGAAGTAATGTTTTCTTGATAAAACACTACAGTATATACGCACGTACGATATCACACCGAATATTTTACAATATTTATTCAAAAGCTTCTACCGTTTCGTTTCCCGAAACCTGTGCTAAAATTCGAATTTAATTACGAAGCACTTCGTTTTGTGAAACACTAATTATTCAGAATGTTGTGATGTTTTTCATGTCATTCGGTTTGCGAGGCGTGTTTAACCGTCAAATTATGTTTTATTTATTCATTCAGGCGATACATGTCACACAGTGATTAATTAACGTCAGGTTTTGAATTACTGTATACTTCATTGTTCTTTAAAAAATTTTACTGCAAAACTGTATACTGTATGTATATATATATACAGTATATATATATATATGTTTTTTTCCTTGGAACTTCGCTGTGAATGTTCGTTGTTCGTTGGTTTGATGCAGAAATTTGCAGTGACTGCAGGATATGAGTTCAAGTGCTGTTTTTGCCTCCTGAAAACCGACCAGCTAAGAGATGGGATGCGACTTCAAGGCGTCCCGGTGCCAGATCGGTAAAGAGTTGAAGATAATTTGAGTATGTGAAGAGATTTTGAATTGCTCGGTATCTTTTTTCCTTTTGACAGTGACGCATTGTGGGAAAAAGACGAAAATGCGTTTGAGGAACTCCGTGTCAGACCAACGAAATGTTCTGTTCCGTCGTGCAAGTGGAAGAACGAGCCCCGACATCGGTATTTCAAATTACAGTAGTTCAATTATTTTATGATCTATCCTGAGCAGGATATGGGGTATTTTAGGATTTTTGGAAGTTCGTAACTTTTCTTGGACTTTGATATCAGGGATCTTGGAAAGTCGCGTTTAAAAGACTGTGTACAAAAATAAGTACATTTTTGCTATCTCGTCGAAATAAGCTGTAAGAGGTAATTTGCTTGTCTGGAAATGGTTTGCGAACTTTCCTGCGAATTTTTAAACTGCATTGGAGAAAACGTGATTCTTTTTACGAAGGTTAGGTTGATCAGAGTTAACAGTTAACCAGCATCCCGTAATTTTTCTTGGATATTAAAGGCATCTGTTGAATTAATAATGAAACAGTACGGTGCTACTTGATTAATTATGGACCCTCAGTAATTCAGAATGTGTGTGTGAGCCATGGTACGTGCGTCCGAATCCAGAGCCTGAATGCATCTTGAACGGAGCATAATGAGCATATTATTCAGTCCTGTGAATTTCAATTTTGTGAATCGTAATAATTAGTGAATGTGTTGCATCCAAATTCACGATTGCTGTTCATAGGTGTGTAATTAGGTGCTGAGGGAACCTTTTTGTGGCCCAAGTTAATTCGGGAACCCCAAAGAATCTGAAACTTGACGCATGTATCAGTCCTAGAGCCTTCGGATGACACAGTATGAATTTTTAGGTTATTTTCAAGGGGGGGGGGGGTTGTTGTACGTGGATTTTTAAATAGACATCACTTGACCCTAATCCTATAATTTTTTCTCAGGGGCACTTTGACTTGCGATCAATGCGGTGCGAATGCAGCTAACCCTCGCTGTGCTGGCTGTGATCAAGATGACGAGTGGTTTTGCCACGAGTGCGTCGCGTTCAATGCCGGAAGTTCAACGTCATCTCCAGACATTGTTGAAGAACAAGGATCTACGCCCTCTGTGAGAGAAAATCCCGAACTTGACGATTCTCGGCGTCATCTTTCTCAAGAGTCTCCGGATGATGACGAAATCGTGATTGAGAAAGTGGTTCCCCGTGAAATCGAGTTCTTGGCGTACAAACGACGGAAAACTCAGCATTCCAACATGTCGGACGAGGTTCAAATCCTCGAGATTCGACGACGATCTTAGAATGTGTTGCGTGTGTCCAATGCTGATGTACAGGTGTCGCTCGATGTCGCGTGAACTGGAATGATTTTGAAGGACACGGCCCATCGTTGCGTTGGCATATGATTTATCGTGTGATTTGCTTGGCTGTTATTTCGTCATGTCGTTATTTTTTATAGAGCTTTTGCTTATAGATTTCCAATTCAAGACGATGAGAAGAAGTATTTGGAAAGCATTATGACCGTGTTTTCCCGGAATCAAAGCTGACTTTGATATTAATTTTGTATATTTTAAAAAATAACTGCAGGGATTAACTTTGGGATAGAGTTTTTCTTAATTATGTGGTTGAACTTCAATTTCGCAATGGTATTTATAAAGAATCACTGACATGATTTGCAGCATAAAAGTCGTGGAAAAATATCATGTGGGATTGTAGAAGGCCAGTCGGTGACTCATGCTGTAAGGATATTTCGAAGTCCAAAACTTGGTACCAAAAAGATGATTTCAAATAAATTTTGACGATTTTTGGAACGCTTTTTCAAATTCATCCTAAATTGATACACCTATGCAGAAATATGAATTATCACTGCCATGGAGTGAATTCTATAATTGCTCAAAAAGAGGTATTTTCTTGTCCATGGCATAATATTTTACGTCGTATATAGAGACGTTCTTAGATTTTAAATCCTCGTCGTTAATCTTAGTATTTTTTTGCAATAATTGTTTTCGACAAGACCTCAAAGTTTCTTCTGAAATGAATGTAGGTAAGGCATAAATTTTCTGGATGCTTCAAAATGATGTTCGGTGTTTTTATTTTTATTTTATTCTTCGAGGAACAGGTCCTCTTTTTCGAAGAAAAGCTTAGCAATTTTTTAGTTGCCTGGATGTTAGGGTTTTAAGAAATCGTTTGATCGTGTGGTTTGCTGTTTTTTGTAAATGCTTGTGCCTTTTTAGTGGTGAGTTCAAAAGCGCGTTTGCCATTGCAGAAAACGGTCAAAACATTATCGCTTTTTTTACGTTTTAGGGACTTCCTCGCAGAAAAGTTTAGTGCGTTTGGTTTGAGCGTCAAGATAGATGCCGTACTTGCAAAGTAGTTTGGTTTGTAGTCACTTTGAATTAATTTTTATTCGTCCGATTTCGTCATGTCACCTCGCTGAAGATCTCGTTCGTTTTTTTCTGTCTGAATTTTCAGTGGTTTACTTCGAAATGAAGTTTTATTACATTTTATATCTTTTCTACCCACAAGCGTAATACGCACAAAAAAGCCAGAGGCTGCTCAGTTAGG